TACCATTTCAGTCAAGTTATTATTGAGCATCTAATGTCAGTTGGTCTAGGCCTACTTAAGTTTAACGATATGGTTTTTAAAATACAATCACACACGATAACAAGAAATCCTCATTTAAAGTTCTTAATATAGAATCACGTTTTTAATGTTTATTTACTCAGTAAACTGAATCATTCATAAATTGCATAGACATGATCAAAATATTTAGGCTATGATATTGGTAAATGATAAATTTTGAATTAACTTGGAAAGACAAAGAAGGCTTTAGCCAGAATGTTCGATACAAATTCACAACAAATGTCTGAATTCGTTCAATGACTTGGGACTTATCTTGCACCAGGCGTATAAAAACACATTGACTTATATGCACCAGGCAATATCTTTAATTCATTTTGGTAATGGGAAGATTTATTTATTGTAGAAAAATGTCCAATAATAAGAAAATGTACGCGATAAGGTGACGCTGCATGTCATCGACAAGCAATTTTGCTGAGAACTTTGACATAAAGGTTATTTTCTAATATTACATAAATATTTTGGCCGTAACAATCTATCCCGTTTTTACGATAGTTAACGAGAAATGCATTCGATTTGAACATTGAATTAGATTTTCCACTGAAAAAAAAAAAACCAAGGAAAATGTGAGAACATTGTTCATAATTTCCGTATCCAATGTTTACCGTAATGAAGAGATACTATATTTATTCAGTTAAATAAAATACTGTAAAATTTAAGAATGAGATGTATTAACCTTAGCCTGTGGCAAGTACGTTGTGAATAACTGCACAAAAAGTAAATGGCGATAGTATATTAAAAGAACCAAAAGATGGCAGTTTACCGTAATGCATATTATAGAGATAAAATATAAAACAGCGCAATACCTATGTGCCAAACTGAAAAGCCTGTGCCTATACGAGCATGTTAAAACATAGTGAATTTACTTGATGCTAAGTTTATATCACTGAAAAATATTTTTAGTAGTAAGTAATTAACATTGTAATTTCGCTAAACAAACAATTTCTTTGTTGAATAGGATTTTGCCATATGAAAAGTAATTTCATTCACGTCTATACTTGAACTCGCTCTTTTTAATAGACAATGAAAGCCATGCAAAGTTGTATGGAGAGAACAACTGGATTAAGTTGTATTACAGCAGAGCAGAATGTGTTCCTGGCTAACACGGTTGATTTAAGTCTTTGTTTATCGACGGCGTAATCGATTGTTACAAACACAAATGTACTGTGGTTGCATTAATGAAAAGATATTCTTCAATACCAAGAATAGCTCTGGTCATCAACGCGCCAAAAGTAATGATAACCACACATCGCCGTTGAAAAAAAGTTGTAAACTAAACACACAAAGTAGAGATTGGAAGGTTTGCCCCTTTGTTCGGTGGCATAGAATTAAGACACCGTTACAATAAAAACTGCCTACAATTGTTGAACCGTTATGATGCGTTTGTCTTCAGCATGAACGGTAAGGGCAAATGCTAGAAACGCGGAAGAGATTCTCGCACAAAGCAGTTAGATGCCTCGGTTTGCTTCGTCGCCAGATGCCCTTAACAAAGCGTCCACAATCAATTTCGATGAGTATGACTGTTTCCTCCCCCCGTGCCTAATAGTGTACAAAAGGCGAATGTTTACGCGGTGTAAAATGTTGTGTTTAATGCCAACAATGATTGGCGAGTGCATTAAAACGATTTCCCCAATAAATAGAATGGAAATTACACATTATGCGCACTGGTAATGATAACGGTTTTGATTGGATTGTCGATGAAGGGATCTGATTACTTGTCGGGACATCAAACACTTTGCTTAGCGGATGGATTGAAGGGTTGCCATATCCATCAAACCAAATAAACTGTCCTTCCTGTTGGATTGCTTCCAATTCTATTGCGACACTGACTTATTTTGCTCACACTACCACTTGCATGTATATGAGAGTTTTAGGATGTTTATGTAACTTTTTCTTGATATCACCAGACTGTAAGTAAATAGTATAAAAGCTCACTTAGCATACAGTTAGAGTGATTCTGTAAGTATTTTTTCTGGAAATGTAAATTTACGAATCCATTGTCTTTTGAGTGCATGCGAGTTGCCAAGCTAAGCGCTAAAATTCTCTCTTGTGTAAGAAGCATTCAATGAGTTGTTGCCAAATGCACTTCCGATGTCAAATGAAAAACTTAGGCAGCGTTTTTTTTACGCATTTCAGGCGCTTCAAAGATGAAGACAATACCAGTAATGAAATTATTTTGCGCATTTCTCGTGCTACTGCTGGGCGCTGCGAACTGCTTTCCACTCGACCAGCTGCTGTTTCGGTTGAACGCTAACGACGGCGACGACGCTTCAGACATGCGAGACGCAGCGCATCATGGGATTGTGTTGCTTCCCTTTGGGCCATATTATCCGAATATTGCATATGATAGTCCCGCAGAAAACGACAGAGACGATGAGATCCTAATGCAGGCTCAACAAAAGCGCCGGCGTTACTTGGGAAAGCGCAAGCGAGTTTGGGGATATCTGCAAAAGAGTGCTAACCGTTGTAATTTCCAGTGCAATGTTCTTGCTGGAGGAACAACGCCAAATACAAAGAAAACTTGTCTTTCCATGTGTTTAGCTTCGCCACCTGACAGGGATTAACTGAATTTTCATCAGAGTTTTCGCGAACTTCCCCTTTGGCACTCTAAACGCCATTGATCGCTCTTCCTGTTGCAAAATTTCCAAAGAAGCTGACACCAAAATTGACAATTTAGACCAAACTATCGTTTATAGTATTTGTTTGTAAAGCAGACAGAGAAACTGATTCCAGAGAGTTTCGTTATTGTTATATGATAATCAGAGCGGAAGGAATCAAGAGACTTCCGTAATGCGTTATTCATTGCTGTAAAAACAATTTGGGTTGGCTTATGTCCTTTATAATTATTTTTTAATCAAGAAAAAACTTCATCACTGCAGCAGCTGTCTTAAATGTACATTATCTTTACGTGTGGGAAATAAGTATGAATTTCTGTATTCGTCTAGGAAAACCCTCCTTGAGACGCGATCAGATTTGCTTTTCATCAAAGTGAAAGTTTGCTAGTTTTATGCTTGCACGCGTTCTCTAAACATTTTTCATATTGATTTTTATCATTGTATGCGTTATTCTTATAAATTCTGATAGCATGTTAAACAAATCGATCTACGCATTAAAAAAATGCAATGTTTGTATCCCTGATAAAAGGTGAGCGCTGCTAGTACCCTTGTCAATTTACAGCATAGCAATTCTGGTAATTTTTGTTCGGCATTTCATTCAAAGATTTAACAAATGAATAGAAAAGGTAGTAGTTATGGGGAGAGCGCACTACGTACTGGGATCGCACGCCCACTAACGATGATAAAATCCAACTCTTAATGACCAAGATTTCCCCTCTCTTATTAAGTTATCGGTGTTGCATTCTGAAGACAGTTTTGCAAACACGCCCGGCGTCGACGTATTATTTACGTCACCTTCTGGTGGAAACAAAGCTAGATTACCATATTTTAATTAGTAATATAAGAAAAGACAGTAGCATACATTATATTTTACGAATTTTCTATAAGATTGTTGTATTTAAGTATATTAAAGCAACGTTTTTATTATTTGACGTTTGGGAATATTAAGCATACTGCTTCTTCAGCTGTTTTCTATAAACTGAGTTTAAATTATTCAGTGATTGAGGAATTTCTTGTTTAAGTTTTTGGCTGCAAAGTATAAAATTATAAAATAACTTTTCCATTAAATGAGACAGAATTTAAAGGGTCGTTATTGTAAACAATGTGATTTTCGGACACATTTGATTTTCCGATTCTCTCGTGTTTCGTGCGGAGCTTACACGTTTAGTGAGACATTACTTTCATTTTCCCTAATTAAGATATTCCCTAATTAAGATATTCACAAAGAAGTTAAGCTATGCCCTTTATGTGAAAAGAAAAACTCTAATCCAGTGGAAAATAAAGATGAATCGAAATCTGTCTTTACAACCTTTATAGCTAATAAAAGCCGGTAGTTTGACCCTTCCATTTCCAGTATGTGCATGTTTCTTTCGACTAAATTATATATTATACACTAGGCATCGAAAACAATTAGTCAAGAAAGGCGGTGCCAAAAAATCCCTTCACTTATAAAATATATCTCACTAAACCTCAAGCAATTAAAATCCCCACGTTATAATTTTATGTTACAGACTTCTTATCAAAATGGTTCCAAAGGCAACCTCAATCATATGCTGCACTTTACTGCTGTTACTTGTTGATGTGAATTGTGCCTCAATCGAAGACTGGATTCGCCAAGAACTTGCCCAAGATGTAGAAAATGAAGAAAATTATCCCTCACAAATGGATGCAATTGTAGCGCCTTTCCATCCATTCTTAGACACGCATTTGCCCCAATACTCTGGGGAGAGACAGTTGGCCTATCAACAACAAGAAGAGGGCAGACGACGGCCGTTTTTTGGGAAAAGAACTTTTCATGTTTTGCTGAATCCAGCTTTTAGGCAATCGGCCCAAAGCAGGAGCAGTGCCAGTAAAAACTTATACAACAGGGGGCAATGAGAAGTTCTAATCCCAAGATAGAAATATTGAGTCCAAGAGAAGAAAACAGTTGAAACTGCATATTGACGCCTACTTTTGAAGAGAAAATGACAAATCTAGGACTTGAACTTCTATACTGGTATTTCACGGAAAAAACAAATGCACACAATGCAAACGAATGTAAAATTTAAAATATATTTGATCAATTATATTACCAAATAATTATAATCATAATAAAATGTAAAATGACTTTTATTTGTTACCTGATCTGTAACAAGAACATTTAAGGATATTGTAACCCTTTATTATCATCCAGATACCGAAAATGAGGTTTTCGTTGCATCTAATTATTCAGTAATGCATCTATCTAAGTGCTGATTCAAAACAATAAAAAACCCTCGAAAATATAAAATGTCGGCGTTTATATTTCTCGTTGCAATGTATAAGCATAGAAAACTCAAAGCTTTAATCGTCAATTTAACACCTTCCTATTTTGAGGTGAGATAGCAATCGGTAAGGGGCGTGACTTCATCCATGAACAAGATTTTATCACGAAAATTGGCAGAGCTAACCATGAGTGTATGGACTACAATCATGTGCCGTCATTTTGGTTAATGTAGTTTTTTAATGTAGTTATGGGCGCCTTATTACAGATTTTCATTTAATAAAGGCATAATTTTGCTTTATCAACGATAAAATCTGAACTAAAACTTATAGGATAAATCGCTGGCATGGTTTTGGAGTACTAAATGGTGCCATTAAATCGACGATGAAGCGGCGATCGTGGGTACTCGGGTAAAAAAGAAATTTGAGAAAACGATTTTTCAGTTTTGAGCCCAAAATCGCAATTATTACTCTCCCGTAGGACGACATTTATGTAAATGTTAATCAATTTAGTCACTGAACATTGAAGATTAATCTATAACCCAACAGAAGAATGTATATAAGGCTGTAAATAAGGAATTTTGGCCGAAGGGTGACAATATCCTTAACCTCTTTTGCTTTTGGAGGCAGCAAAAGGATAAGACGTATGTCTATGTCTTTTGCATATAGCACCAAATTCTATACAAGAAGTCGCCCATTAATGTAAGATATTTTACACAATAAACCCTATAAAACTACATGAACGTGTTGTTTAAAGTTTATGTGCCGGAATGACACGATGTATCAACAAATTAAGCAATGATACACGTTGTGCAATTGGATGCACATACTGTAATCATTGCTTATTAATGCTTAATATTGCTTAATGAACAAAGTCCCAGCTACAATTTCATTCAATGACAAAAAAATTATAAAAGATAAATAAACAAACAAACAAACAAACAAAAAAAAAAAAAAACAAACAAGTAATTGTATCTTGTGTGAAAATAGGGTATTATGGTCTCAAAATAGGTTGACCGGTTTGCAGAGCTCGGACACAGATCTGAATATTGTGTTGTCATCTATCTTCCCCTTTTTCCTGCTCGTATTATTTCTGATCCCGATTTTTTAGCATACGCCGCAGAATCTTCCCAGTTGGTGTCTTTGGAATTTCTTGAACGAATTCCACTCCACCGCGCAGCCGTTTGTATGGAGCCACTTTCGCTTAAAAAGAAGTAAATAACAATATAAATAAAAAGGCGTTATTAACAAACAAACAAAAAATCCATTCATTTCAATGCCCAAAGATAAATACACTTTTCAATTATGGCGATGTTTATATGATAAACAAATCAAATTTGCTTGCTTGAAATAAAGGACTTACGAAAATTCACAGCTCTATGATTAAATAAACAGTAAATTATGAATGGCCTACTCTCTCGACGCCCATTCTATATAGCCATATATATTTGTTTACATACATTAAAGTAAGAAATATTTCTGAAAAGTTTTTTGGCACTGATATAAATATGCATTCTTGCTAAAAAGAACATTATATTTCATAAAGTAGACATATTAATTTCCCCTTATTTCTCTATGACAGTTTTCACCAAACCTCTGTTATTACTGGCTTTAGTATTGACCATCAAACAGTTTTCAAATTACGGAAAGGAACAAATATATAATTAGGGCTCAATATACTGTCTGACAAATCTGAGCAGAGTCTTTATATTGCAGATGCAATATCAAACCATGGAGGGGAATAATGCCTCTATGCTTGTTCCAAGAAAGAGCTGAGTGAATAATTCAATTTTTCTAAGTTTGATCTTATTGCAATTACAGCTTTGTTGTACTATTAAAAAATTCCATTAAAAACTGCGTACACTTCACAAATAGGATATGCGCTTACTTTTAACGTAATCCTGAAGCTCTATTTCTAACAACTGAGCGTGCGGTTTTACCACGACGAACGCCTTGGGAAGCTCTCCCGCTTCTTCGTCGTCGACACCTATTACTGCTACGTCAAGAACCGCTGGGTTAGTCAATATCACTGCCTCCAGCTCTGCTGGCGGGACCTTGAAGAGGGGTATATAAATATATTTAAAGCCATTATAATTTTCGATGCCAAAAGTTTCCAATAGTTCAAAACCTCTTTGAATTTGACTTCGAATAATAATAATAATAATAATAATAATAATAATAATGATGATGATGATGATAAATAATATACTTTCATTTAATTTAGGGTCTAAATTCTTTCAAATGTTATGCAGATTTTCCAACTGAGAAGGTATCATCAGATGAGAAGAACAAATTGTTATAAATAAGAGAGGATTAATACACTTATCTAAATAAAAGTTTCATGAATAAACCAATAATCCTTTATTTCCATACACTGAATGTTTGTAAAAGATGTCGCTTACAAGATGATACTTTAAAGAAAACTGACAACAAAAAGTAACAATGTACTTCACGATACAGTGCAAAATTGATTTTATCAATCGATACCTGTTGGAATGCGATCAAAAACCCGTGCAAATTCAATTTGGCGTTCGCTAATGGTAAATATATATGTAAACGGACAAGTGATGATTTAATGTGCGATGCTCTCTGAACATCATCAAAAGTCCTTTTTGTCAAATTGAAATCGAAATCACGACAGAGCAGTTACGTGCAATACAGCAAAATCGGCTTGTATGCAACGTATGCATGTAGATTTCTTTTCAGTAAAATCAAACACCAGAAAAAACTTAATAAAATTAAAATAGAAAAGAAAATTTACCTGGAATCCCTTGAACTTGATCAGTTCTTTCAATCGGTCACTGATAAACACATGACCGTCGGCGTCTAGATACCCAATATCACCTACAAAAAAGAAAAATCATTGAAAGAAAACTATAGTTGTCAAATTAAAAAAAGCTCAGGTTTTCAAGACACGTTTTCAAGACACGTACAAGTGTTATTAAATTATTTACTGTATGGTATTTTACATGTTTTTCTTCTCTTAGCTATGAATTTCTAAATCACAGCAAAAGAAAAGATTTATTTTTAGCTCAAGCATACACCGTAAAGCTTTATTGATGTTACCTCTACAACAACGGTGATATTATTAGGGTTAATAATGACTGAAACTAGGGTTAAGACAAATGACGAAGATAAATACTTAACATTCAGACAAGCCAGACAAGATACGGTAATTTATTAAATTATAACAATTATTAAAACAAGCGTGGGATGAGAAGCAATATTAACCAGTATGAAACCAGCCGTCTTTTATGCACTCTGCCGTGGCCTCGGGATTGTTCGCGTAGCCCTTCATCACTTGCGGGCCCTGGACACAAAGCTCGCCTTCCTGCATTGGGCCCTGGGGAGTATTGGACTCAATGTCGACAATCTACGATGTTCAAACAGAACCAGTAAATGAACAGTTCCGTTACCGAAGAAATGAGGGTCAATGTGAAATGGGGGCTTCGAGTGACAGGAAGAGGAAGTACAATATCCGTCGTGAATGGTAAGTGACCGATGTGTAGTGGCGAGAGAGAGAGAGAGAGAGAGAGAGAGAATAAGAAATGCCTTTGCAACTTTTTTGTATAAACGTACATACATGTTTCATACTTCATACAGCATTCTAAAAAAGGCACTGAGCTCCAAATTTCAAATTTCCAAATGACCATAAACCACCTCAGCCGTGGCAACGCTATGTGTTTACCCAAAATACTTGGAAAAATGGACCTAAAGATAGAATGGAGGATAAGAAAATCCAGGGGGAATTGTAAAGGAAAAAGAAGATTTAAAACAAGTTGGGAGTTCGGATGCAGTGGGCAAGGTAACCACCCACGTTGTGAACAAACAAGTAATTAATACTTAACTAGATCTTGGACAAATTGTGTATAATTTCTCCATATCCAGATTGAAGCCAACTAATCTCATCTAATAACCCTCTGTAGAAATAATTTTATCAGAATGCTTTTAGCATATAAAATATTAATTAAATATGGTTTCAACAATTGTTTTAGTTTCTATTCATGATCATCCGGTGGATCATCGTTGTTTGCCCTGTGTGTCACAGTATTTCCATAGGGATATTGCAAGTAAAATATCAATAAATATTGTAATCTATATACTCCAATGACCTCCTTTATTTCGGCTCATCCTATACAGCGAGTTCTTTTCATGATGCATATGAAATATGCATAAAGTTCCCCAGTGTTTTTAATATCTACATAGTTGGGTGAAAGTCTTTGTTTATTCACAGTGTCAAAACATACATTTGTATCTAACATAATGCTTCAATTTAAAATTCTGTCTACTTTTAATACCAGTGCCACATCAAACAGAGTTGCATTGTGACTCAGTATACAAGCTTTGGGTTGTACATGTAATAAACCTACATGTAATGTAGTACAGCAAGAGATATTATAAGCCATTGGTCATAGTGCATGTATCAAAGTCAACTAGCAATCGAGGAAAAAAAATAAGAGGTCACTAAATAATCAATTTGTTTTACATGTAAACTGCCTAACACAGTGCGAAGATCTATTTTATCCCGTTGAGACTGAAATCAAACTGTCATACTTTGAAGTCTACAACCTACTGTGAAAAAGTGGAATCTGGTGTCAGTTCTGCTTCGTGTCCTGAGAGAGAATGAGAGAGAGAAGGGGGGGGGGAGAGAGAAAGCGGGAGAGAGATGCTTCTATTAGCACCGCATCTGTACATGTAATATTACTACCTTATGTTTGGTATTCGGCACTGGGACGCCAATAGACCCACTCTTCCAGCTTCTAGGCGGGCAGCAGTGAGTGACCGGGCTGGTCTCTGTGAGCCCATAACCTGAATTTCAAACAAACCAAAATGCTGAGAATATGTAGACTGTTAAAAATCACAGACTAGACAGCAACAGTATGCGGGCCTTATGCTTCACAGGTTCCATTTGTGCAGACACAACTTTCTTGGAAATATCCATTTACTCCCAAATCAAATATCTGGTTAATAGAAAAAGACAGTCAGTATTCATGTGCATTTAGTGAAATTATTAAAAAAACACCTCACTTTTTTAAAAAAATCTCTTGATCATTTTAACATAAAGAATAGGTTTTTTTTAGTATCAAATAGAATATAGTATTCTTACATTGTTTAATGTCACTTAAGCCAGTAACGGTGCTGAATTCTTCGCTTAGAGTATCAGAGAGAGGCGCAGCGGCGGAGAACACTTGTCGAACGGAGGAGAGGTCGAATTTGTGAATATCCGGGTATTTAGCCATGCGGAGGGCTATGGGTGGGACCACATGAAGCGATGTCGCCTAAATATGAACGACAAACTAAATGCAATCTAGGCCTATTCTATTTACGCAATTATAACCAATCACAGTGTCACCAGCTCAGCGGTAGGCTTCATGACGAAATTGTGCAAACGCTAGTGAACATTTTGTATGGTGTCAGGCAAAGCCAAATCCGCTGTGTTTGCGACCTCGTTATCGTACTGACTTAGGGCACATTCACAATGAAACTATCGTTTTACTTAGATCGATTCAACTCCGCAGGGACTCCCGCTGAATGCAAACAGATTAACAAACCTCCTGGCGTTGAGTGAAATACCGAAAAGCTGGCGAATAGGCCCTATACGAGTACTTTGGAAACAAAAGGGGGCATGTTGATCTGTTTATCTTACCGCATTCGGCGAGAATATCCGCGGAGTTGGACCGATATTCGTAGAATGACATTTTCAATGGAAATGAGCCCTTTACTTTAATCGGCTTAAAACATCGCATGTCTGATCTTTTTCAATATAAACAATAGGCCTACACACCTTTACGTCCAATCGCCATGAACAAAATAATAATAATAATAATAATAATAATAATAATAATAATAATAATCACGGATGAGCAATGGTCCAGTAATATAACAAAACCAACAATCATGACAACATCAGTGAACTCTTAACATACGCTTTACTCCAAGAAAAGTATTACAAATTGTAAAACATCACTCTCAGACTGCTACTAGTACATCCACAAAAGAAAAAAACTCAACAAGATAAATAAGACAAACACGACGTACTATTAACTACTTAAACATGACGAGGTCATAAACATCAGTATTGGCTGGCAGGAAAACAATCAATCAATTATTTCCCTATTTAATTGACAATGGTTTTATTCATCGGTTAATCAAGCGACTAGCTTTGTCACGATAATGGGTTAACTTAAGTCTGCAGCGCGGTGCTTATGGAACAAAATATGGCGCCTTGTCTCTAGGAACACTACGGGAACAGCAACATACTACAGATACTTATAGGCCTACTGGCACTCATTCTGAAGCTTTGTCCTGACTGCTCATAGACAATGGCCCTAACTTTTAATCTGCCTCAAAAAATACGGTAAAACTTATGTAAGTAAGTAACTAACTATCTAACTAACTAATAAATTAATACATTTTATATAAACAAATTAATCAGTTAATAACTAAAGAAAGAAAGAAAGAAAAACAATAAACAAACAAAAATAAGAAATAAATAAATCAGTCATACCCGATGTCTGTGAACGATGTGCAGGTAGTCATCCAGGGTAAATTTTGGCATAGTAACAATCTTGACCCCCGCTGCAAGCCCAGTGAATAGAGTGACCACTTGGCCATATATATGGAAGAACGGGAGCACTCCCACCAGGCAGTCACTGAGGGGGACATATCCCATGACACCGTGGTGCCTAAAGTTGTGAACCAATGCATGTCAGACTTTAGCTTCACCGAAATTGTGCAAATAAGATTACTCGTCGTTTGGTATTTAATGTACCTTGATTTGATGCAAGTGGGCATAGAAGGTTTTAATCTTCATCCTGTGCACAAAAACAGTTCTTTCCGATTTTTGCATATTCAAAACAATCATCTACTTTAGAGACATTTTTTAATGTTCTTATTTACAAATGCACTAATCATAATACAGTGATTTCAATTTTTAAATTGAAAGACACAAACACTTACCGTCAACACAGTTTCCCAGAGAGCATCATCAACTACAGGAGGTCTTTTATAAATTTTGCAACATTTCCACTAATTTCTACTGAGTATGAGCAGACGACCCCTAGAGTAGCAAGAAGGGACAAACGATCTCTAATGTAAGTGCGCCTTGGGACAAATAATACTATACAAATATAAAACGAGGAATAACTTACCTTAGCTGTTCAACATTGGCGACAATGTTTTTGTGAGTTAACATAACCCCCTTCGGAAGCCCCGTCGTACCGCTACTGTATGGTAAGGCTAACACGTCTTCGTCGACGTTAATATCCACGTTTTCTGGGAATGCATGGCCATCATCTTCCAGTAGATTTGTAAACGGTCTAATTCCGTCAACGTTTCCGAACACAATCACTTCCTGTGAAAAGATATCCCTCTTATTTTCTTATTTTGCAATAAAAACACGCGTCAAGTCTATTTCAATTTTTCCCTCGGGGACATCTGCAGTTATGGTACACTTAAGTGCAAGCTAAAGTTAAACCACCGGCGAAAAAAAAAAACAAAGAACTGTAAAGGGTTTTGTTTGAATGCTTATAGGTGAAAAGATAAAATACATAAAGATGCCGAGCCAACATGCCAGAAAACAAAGCAATTTTAGTGTAGAACAGTTTCATTAGCTATGTTATTGTAATAGACTTGTGAAGATTCTGTTGTCTATAGCTACTTATATTTGTCTGGTCTTACCAGCCAATATTTCTCTTCTTTGGGGATCTGGCCAAATAGCACACCAGAGGGGGAGATAAGTCACACCTATCACAACCTCATTCCCTGAGAAGTCTGACTGCAAGCAGACGAAATATTGGTTGGTAAGACCAGACAAAGATAAGTAGTAGCTATAGACAAAATAATCTTTACAAGTCTAAAGCCATTTTACCTTGACATTTGGACACTGAGATTTCGCTGCTATTGCGTTTTTTACTGAAGACGGCGCAACCACCAGAATACTGCTACTGGATCTTTTCAGTTGCGTGGATAATTCATCTGCATCAGACATGTAGTATAAAAGAAACAGTGTTTTCTAAAAACACGTCATATTCTTCATGACAGACTTTTATCCAAAGGTGACCCGAAAAATGTATTTCAGTGCTGAATTTGGTCTCTGGTTAATGCAAGATGCATCACCGCTTTTAAGTACATTGCTTTTATTTCTCATCTCGTAAGTCTCGGATCAAAATTTCACCCAGCTGTACTACAAGTCAAAAATTATTCAAGTGACATTATCTGATGATTAAAAACTTGAGATAGCACGGCCTACAATTACCAAAACTTCAAAGCATAGAGCAATGGCGGATATACATAAAGATTAAATCTGTTATATACCTATCGTATACAAAGGGTTGAGCGCAGTCACCGTCCCTCCAAGGACCCCAACTGCTATGAACACTGTGGCATAGTCTGGCACATTATGAGCGTATAGAGCTAGCACGTCCCCCTTCTTGAACCCCATCCTTGTTAAGGCGCTTGCGCAGCGGATGACACGATCCTTCAGCATGCTGTACGAGACGGTTTCTCCCGTTGCTCCGTCTACCTATAATCAGTGCAGAAACAGATAAGGCCGATAGTATTAACAGACGATTCTAACAATTTATCCTCTACGAGTCTATCTAAATCTTAGAGACCATACCATACATTAAGCAAAAAAAAAAAAAAAAAAAAAAAAAAAAAAAAAAAAAAAAAAAAAAAAAAAAAAAAAAAAAAAAAAGCCAACGCATGTATAGTGCTATTAAAGTGAAACTGTTTGTCACAATCTGTGCTTATTCAAATGTCAGTTTTTATTAACTGTAGGCCCTACCAGTACAAAGCGCAGGCATTTGAAGAACTGCTCATGAGCACGCATTACGAGTGGTACGTGGTTCAGATCAGAAGGTATGCATTACATATATTCACGACAAACAAAAGTCAAACTACCAGACGTTGCGTGTACAAGGTCGTAGGCTAAGAAAAATGTATGGGAAAGGGAGCTCTGTCGTCCTGACACTGATCGAGAAGTATACTGATGAGACTTCTAACGGACTTGTAGAAAAAAAAGCAAACGCTTTACAAAGATCCCCCCCCCCAAAGTTTCTTTTTCAAAAATCCCCAGGAGAGAGAGAGAGAGAGAGAGAAAGAGAGAAAGGGAGAGAGAGAGTGAGAGAGAGTGAGAGAGAGAGAAAGGGGGTGTCAATTGGGGGGGGGGGGGAAGAGGTGCTGCAGCGGATCTTTTCCTTCAAGACGCATCAATTACATAGCACACCTGCGACATTCCAGGCTCACTTACCAAGGCCACGTTATTACTGTACTTCTCCCAGTCCCGCATCATATGCTCGGCAAAAGATGCATCTGGTACATGTATCTCGGGATGCGGACTTTGTAATACAGCAGAACGAACTGCAGAGGTAGAAAGCAATCTGAACTTTTCGTTGCCCCCTGTGTGGTGTAAGGATAACGATGGGCCCACCGTCCAAGGATTCAGCGTACAGAATGGACTGCAGTTTGGTGTCCGCCCGCATGAAGGCGCAAGCACGCGCAAGGGCACTGTAACTGCACGAACTGCGGTCGCCATCTTCATAATCCGCATAATCAACAGGTGTGTTTATATTCGACGTCTGAATTGGGTCAAGACAAACTAGGTCATCAGCGACATCAGAAGTGGGCCTACCAATTATACAATACGAGCATCGACAATAAGCCTGGTATTCTGACTAAGTTTTCCGCATGAACCCATTTTACGTACACGTTATCTGATTATCTACTTCTATGGTCATTTGCCCATTGCACTTCCTCCCGTAAGTAAGATAGGCCTACTTATTTAAGTGTGTGACCTAAAAGGAAGAATGCATGAACTAAAGCTCATCAGATGACCAGTCAAACCACGGAGACGTCTAGAACTGCGTTAGGTGTGCTTCTAGCATTGAGTTAGGTGTGCCTCTACGTACAATACAACAATACATATCGCGCGTAAAAAAAAAAAGACTTACAGGCACTAGACCTACCCTCTACCAAGGCGAGTGATAGATTTTTTTACAGATATTCACAGATATGTCTCTAGTCATTTACAGCTGAAGGGTTTAGCTGAAAATGACCATCTATCTAGCTAGAGACATATCTGTGAATATCTGTAAAAAATCTATCACTCACCCTGGTAGAGGGTACACTAGACCTACAGGCACGTGAACTTACAAGCTGTAACCCATTGCTGTTTAAGATAGGTCAGTAGCCTTCTAATGCTTAAGATAAGATAAAGGTTTATTTAGCTAATAAATATATAAAATATGGAATATCGGGAATAAGTTGCTCTGTAAAAGCGTCGTTGTAAAGAAAATGTAAAAACTGTATATTTATATGAATAAAAAATGTTTAAGACTTTGTGGTTACAAGGGACATGGTTGATGGATAAAAGCTAATTTTTTTAAAGTTGTGAGCAGGATGGAAACTGTCACTTATGATCGACGTTATAACTTGCTACCCCCTCAAGGTAAAATTCAATGGGAGTAAGATCTTTCCCATTCAAGTCACTTGCCGTCTTCGCTAAGTGTTCATGTTTTTTTCTTTTTCTTGGACAAGTGTAAAATGGAATACCAGTGCGCTGATTTTCACACACACACACACACACACACACACACACACACACACTCTCTCTCTCTCTCTCTCTCTCTCTCGCACTCTCTCTCTCTCTTTCAAATCACAGCAATATCTAGACCTCATTCCAACTCTGCGCGGGATTCTCGCTAAAGTACAAACAGCCTTATCTCCTTGATTGTCTGACACGCCTCAGTAATTTGCATTTGAAATATCTCACATCCTTTTTATTATCTTTTTGAAGCTTTTATTACATGTAATAGAAAAGTATTTATGCATGATATACTATGCGATAATACATGCATTTTTCACGTTGATACTAGATTTATAGCCAATCGTTCCAACGTTAAAATGCATGCCTATTTAACTTCTGTAAATTATCTTCATGTCTTCGCCCCTCGACCCAAAATTAGCATTCTCAAAACGTTTCGTCTGATTAATGTAATGCGAAATATGTGGACGTCGTTTTGTTTTGTTGCATGATCGCAGTGTCTTGAACAAATGGTTGAAGGACATCGGTCTAGCTCGGGTAGTAGAGCGAGGGAAATAACTGACCACTGTCGCTGAGGGTCATCACAGCGTCCCCATTGCCAACTTGCAATTTCCTCACGTGCTGCCTGGTCTTTTTCGCACGGATCACGTGGAACCCGCAGACTTTTTTTTAAAGATCCAAACCTCTACCTATTTGTCACACACCTTCGCTTTATGTCTTTTATTTGAAGTCAGGTCGTGACTTAAGCATTACATTACCTGGGACTATCAGCCGGGGCGTGCATGTACGTAAATAATTCTACTCTACTGGGAAAGTTGAGATCGGGATTGAAGACCCACGCTTGAGTAGCACGCAACAAGCTCAAGGATCGATTGATCAAAGATGGGGATCGAGGACGACGACAAGGGGACCGACATTCCTCTCCTGGTAAGTGGGATATGCCTTTTTGAAATGCGTTTTAACCCCTTATCCCACTTCAGGGTCAAAGAAGGCACCTTGCAAGTTGTGCGTTGAAGATTGTAACCATTAGCCACTCTTTAAATTTCCGTCTTTGTAATTGTGCAATTTCGCTTATTTTACGACGATTTGACAACTCCTTTTTTCTAGATAAAGTTGTTATGTCCAGGTTGCACAATTTGCCCCCCTAACTAACATGGTGGCAAAACGTATCACAATATTGATATATATTTATCAGTTGGATAGTACAATTTAAGTGTTTTGTAACTTGCTCTAGTAACGAAGATGATGCATCGTCATAAAAAATAAGATGAATCCTTTTTTAAACATATAAAACAGATTTAAAGAGACATACATGTAGATATTCTATGATTGAGTATTTTCTGATACATTTTTTCGTCACAAGCATAATTATGAAATTATTATTATTATTATTATTAGATGTAGTATTGCTAGTGTATAGTGCTTAAATGTACATTACAAACTTACTGGTACATGTTAAGGTGATGGCCACGAAAACAGGATATCCGCAGTTTGATAGCTCGTTTTGGGTAACCTTTTGTGGTATACAAATGTGTATGCTTATTAGAAGTGCCAAAGTGCCATCACATTGGTGGTTGTCTAAGAAATAATTCTTACATTTGCACCCCACAGCTATGATGGACTTTAAATTGATATGTGGAATTTGCTGTTTGTAGCCACCTACAATGTGCACGTACTTTTATTGCTCGAACTGAAAAAAGAAGCATGAAAGTGTGGATTTACATGTATATTGCTTACTATTGAAATGTGTTTTTTTAATTTTGCGTCAATAATTCCACAAATTAATGTTGGCATAAAGAAAAAAATTAAAATATCAACTGAAACTATACGATGATTTAATTCATTAAGATTAAGTATGCTCAGTGCGTTAGAACATGGTGTAATTGATAAATCACTCTTAATGTAGACCATTTAACCTAATGTTGCCCTTTTTTACATAGAATATTAGTCCTTCAACTTTCCAAACTTGATACCATTAGATCCAGTTGCATACCAATGAAGTCTTAAATGGTCCTTTAATAAGTACATTACAGGGCGAATCCTGGATTATTTGAAGGGGGGAGGGTGGTCCGCCGATCCGAAGCTGACCCCCCCCCTCGGCGTAGGTTTCGAGGTACGGTGAAGGGCCTCAAAAATGGTATTTTAGAAGGCACCCCCCCCCCCCCAAGTCCGCCGCAGCATTAGATATTTAATTTGTTTACTTGTACAGCATTTTCTAGAGCGCACCTTGTTTCAAACATGATATCAAATTGCGTGACAACAGACAAGTTTCGGGTATTTTTCCATTGATTATTGACACCAACACTGTTATCCCACGAAGGCTGGGCATCCCATAAATAACTGGGCACATCATACAGATAATACCTATAATATAACAACAACGGTCATTATTTGTATTTTTGAGTAATGAGACCCTGTAATTTGGAGTTCCCAAAGTAACCAGCCGGGGGCAAGCTCAGTGGTTTTCATAATCGCTTACCCCAGTGCTTCTGTAGTGCAAATGTTGTTGATGAAATTTACGTTTTAAATCACGATAACAATCACGATAACAAAAGCGGGTTAAAACAGAATAATTTGCCCATCGCATTATGAAACTTCCTACACAACAAGTTCAATAACCAAAAATGTGGATGAACGCCTTTCACGACAGTCTTACGAGTTGTACATTTATTTCAGCCCAGCTTTAATTAAGCTAAAACCGAATTACTTACAATTAGAGACACTATGATTGAAATTATTCAAACCATTCATAATCCATAATGAGATACGTTTAAAAGATACTGTAGAGATTGTTTCACAACTGTACTGGTTTCACAATCCAAGTGCATATAGCAATAAAAGACGCGACAAAAGAATCGTAATATGGCCCACACCTGAAAGGTAATACAGTTTGTGCAAGTGTTTGTAAACTACTCATCCCCCCAATCCGTGCGTCTTGACAATTGAGACTAGGTCTAACACCGTATGAAGTGCAGACACCGGAACAAACCCTGCTTTTACTGTCAAAGCAGCCGGAACGGCCTACTAGTACAACTTCTCCAAACGGAACGGTGCGCTGAGAATCTATTGCTAGCCCTACGTGGCGTATATCACAAGTATGTTTTTAAACAATTTTATGAAAATGAACAATTTGGCTACAAAATGCAAATACGGTCTTATGTCATTTTTAAGGAGGGGGGAAGCAAAAAAAAAAAAATAAAATAAATAAATGTATATATATGGTAACTGGCAGATTATTTTCAAATCAGTTTTATTAATTCAGAAAACATTAAATTTATAAAGTATTTTTGTACGACAACATACAATATATATATATATATATATATATATATATATATATATATATATATATACAAGGATGGACCAAAGCTAAATGTTGGTGCACACTTAACCCTATCCTTTCCTTTGCCATCTTTCTTTTTCCATTTCTTCCTCTTAATAGCAATGATGTTCTCACCCTTCTGANAAAAAAAAAAAAAAAAAAAAAAAAAAAAAAAAAAAAAAAAAAAAAACAATTGATCAATTAGGAGGATACTATTATTACACCAGCGATGGCAATATTGATTGTCCGTAGAATATCTTCATCTATTTTTTTTAATCCAAAAAAAGGCTATCTAAAGCAAATTTGAATGAATTTTGCTACGGGCAGTTAAATTTTCATTTATCTCTTCAACTGTTTACGAGACATGTAAGAAAAAAGTTGTGCGTGCTGGTAAATGAAAAACAAGGCATCTCCCAGCAGCTAGCTTCCATATGCCGCAATACCGCAAAACAAGTCGCTTTTGTCCACTTTACCAATTCGTTAACAATAAAGGGAATACGCAAACAATTATAAGTAATATATATAAAATCTTTCAATTATCATATAATTGTACACATATCCCTAGTTTTATCTTAGTGTTATTTTCAAGCGCTCAATAATAAAGATACTCTAATTGGTTGTTATGTACTCAGCAACAGTGCACTGGTTGTTTTGCCTTGTCGACCGTTGAAATTGTAAAATAATTCAATCAAGGGCGTGGCATTCCTTGCGCGTGATCTCTTGCATCTATACTGTATATCAGCTACATGTATAAAAATATTTTATAGCAGTTTGAAAAATATTCTGAAATATTCATGTACATCTACCAGGTTACATCAGAGTGGGCTTGCTTTACTTGTATTCCAAACCTTCATGTCTTAACCCTTTACCTGCACCTCTTACACTGTTTGCAACATTTAAACAGCATCACGTCTACTAGTATGACGCAGTTTATTCACTACCTGTGCAGACACTTTCAGGCCTTCGTCAGTCAAAGCTTCAGAGGTAACTTCAGGGGGGACACCCAAAGAGTTATTGGAGGACAAATTAGACAGGTGCTTAAAAAGAACAACAATAAAAATAGTTTCGCTAGCATGGCGTCTCAGATACCACTTAGAGGTAGTTAATGATGTGCACTAATGTCCAAAGGACGTGACCAGTATACGTTATGTTATCGAAGAGGAGCAATGGGGGCCTAATAAATAAACGCTTAGTTAAAGAGAGTGATGTAGCTGAATGTTAAAAGATATTGCTATATACACGTGTGTTTGTAGCATACGTACATGCTTTGGCAAGTTGGTAGAATTAAGCTATTTGGAACTGTAAAGAAACGTACGTTGCTTACCAGGTCTCAAACTGCATGTTAGGGGGTTATCTTGGCGTTTTTCTATGGGCAAAAAAGAGAATCAAGGCAAATAAATAAATAAATAAATAAATAAATAAATAAATAAATAAATCTTGTCAAACACGCATGTGTATTGCATGGCTAGCTTGAGCACACTGTTTCTTCCGCTATCTGACAATTGATAACGAATTACGGATACAGGCAAGCACTGTCCATATTAAAGGCAATTCACTACAATTTATAACCAATTCACGTTCAGGTACGACCTAAGATCCTTTTAGACACATGATATGAGTTGCTATTGAAAACAAGAAATTATAATGAGGGTGTGTATTACCACAGAAGTAGAGACAGTCTTTCTCTACTTCTATGGTATTTCGAAAAGCACAAATCCGTTTTGTACGATGCATTCAAACTAACGTCTCATATGTGACGGGTGACAAAAATATTACAGAGCTAAGTAACTTGAGTGTCTGAAAGATTTATACTACATGTAGTAAAGTACTTCTAAGTTCGTAGACAGAAAGCACCTGGCTTGCAAAACAAGCACGCGCTCACTCACGCGCCCGCTCACCCACGCACACGCGTATTCGTGCACAGAAGAAGCCAAGCACATGAATCTTGCATTCCCACGCACGCACATGCAAAAACAACTTGGGTTTTCTTGATAACAGATCTTTATATAACTTGCAATTATATGTCATAAGAAATGAGTGTCTTAAAAGGAATTCAATATATTTCGATTAAAAGAATCTTTCCACTGTTAGAGTCTGTTTTACTGTCCTTTGAATAAGAACTACTGATAAATGACAACTCTTTGTCTAAAGGTGCATGTAGCAGAAGTAATTTTAACACCACAAATTTTAAAGTCAGAGAGCTCATGTTTCCAGCACAATTCACCCGGGTCCTATTTAGCGCGGAAGGTCATGCAGTTCCACACACTTATCAAATTGTCATTGGGGAACTGAGAAAGAGCTTTAAAGAATCCCATTGGTATTCTTTGCTATAACAGTAGTAGTCTGGGTGACACCAACGAAAGAAAGACCTGTAAATTAAATGAAATCACACTTGAAAGGCTCAGTGGTGGTTGATGATGAATATTATGAAGAGATTCGGTAACCTGAGAAGATGAAAAAACGCCATTCATCTCGACGTAAATGATGGCACTGCTAGGCCCAAAAAGAAATTATTTAATTTAGAGAAAAATGCATACCACCTTGGTAGCTTATACTGGAGTATAAAACCAAACCAAAACGTGTAGGTATGTTGATTACATGCGTTAGAGATGGATATGATTCGTTTAAAACTTCCCGCTTTAATGAACCTTGAATGAAGTGGATTAAACCCCGTTCCTTGGAAAAAAAAAGGAACTATGTTACACGCCGAAGATCACAAAAAGATATGAATGACCCAGAATGCAATATGTTCAATAGGAAACAAAACAAAACAAAACAAAGCCCACCCCCCAAAAAAAGCATAAAACATAAAAAAAGTTACCCAAATAATCACAAGTGGTTAAATTTTTTTTCACGAATGGCATAACATTCAAATAGTTCTTACTTTAGTGTTGCATAACGGCGACAACAATAACGAAAAAAATCCATGAGCGAGCACACTGTCATAACACATTATATCTATGAAATGTGTGACACATGCCCCCTCTGGCAAACCCGTTACAAGTATGTGCGTGCCATGGACTGCCACTTTTACGGCTGTCGCGTCGTGTAATAAGAAAATAAACAAAACAAAATATAAATCGGTCCGCAACTTGCTTTTTGACCTTTACGTCTGTTTCGAAATTGACGCCAATTACCATTCCTCACATATAGACAAAGAAAGTGTCTGTCTGGATATTTTCTTCTACCTAACATTTTTAATCAGCCCGAGTGCGATGCGTTTTTTATAAACAAGGTAATAGAAAATGTCAACTGGGCAGCTTAACCCAGATAAGATATATGTGCAAAGGAATGGCAGGTTGATACAAGTTTTCAATATTTATGCTGATATGTGGCTCATATCAAACCACCTTTTTACGTCAAGAGAAAACCAAAACATGTAGTGGCATTTCATTGAATCTTGGTGGATAACTTTGGAGTAATCAAAGTTCTAAGTTCTAAGTTCTTATTTCACGCAGTATTGCGTCTTTTACAAAATTTGCATTTCGGGGCAAAATTTTGTTTTGTATTTGAACTGTTTTGTGTAACTTGTAACTGCGTTATTTATATATATGCGATGTATATTCTGTACAATATATATCCGCAAGTAGCAACATGAGTATTAGATGTCAATTCTGTTTACAATAAGCGTGCACCTACCTTCCTCGCCTCTAGTAACTATATGTTTGGCCAAATTACAGTCTACACTGTACAGGTGTTAATTTCAGTGCGCGTGCGTGCTTGTAATGAGGTTCAATTGGTGGTATTATAGACAAAGCGAAAATGTCTCTTTCGATTAAGTTGACTTATGTCAACTGCACACCTTTGGTATACGTACGGTATCATTACAGGGGGCAGACCTAAAGGTATACAATTTCATGATAATTTAAGATGCCCATAATACATGTACCTCATGCTTGCCTCTCTCCCTCGAAAAGCAAATGAAAAATAAATAAAAACATGGTGAAGAATATTTGATTCTAAAACGAAAACCTAGGAGACAATAATATCTCTACTGTGTTGAAGGATGACACATTTTGAGTTGTTGAAAATAGACAAGTGAACTTCATGGTCAATAGACCATGTAATATTTGAGCGACTGATGTGACGCACGTTTAAAACACAATGTTAACCAACTCTGGGCTGTGTGTCATCTTTGTGTGTGTGTGTGTGTGTGTGTGTGCAGTTTATTTCTAATAAGCTAGCGAAACATATAGCAGGGTAGTGCACATGATGCAACAGAGTTCACTTCAAATAAGATGCGGCGTTAATAAGGATAGGCCTACTGGTATATTTCCTCCCAACTCCAAACTGCTATATTATGTAATAGTATAATACAGGGTTCGTTTTCAAAAGTGTTTTTATCACGTTATATTTGCGGTTATGTATTTACTGTTGTGTATTGATATTTCATTCCATTAATTTATTCTTTATCTAGACTGTCACAACCCCAACAGACTCTGAAGCACCTGATATTGAAGAGAAAAACACGCACACGGGTGAGTATTCAGTTTTTCTGAGGGTTAATGCATGAAAAACTTGGTGCAAAAGAAAACAGAGGGTGGGCTTCAGGCTGTGGGAAACCGAGAGCACCCAGGTCGCATGTTATTTAGGTTATAGCCATTCTGCCTTAAATTTTTCTTCACGAAATGTGAAGCACACAATAAGTGTGTCGTTGCTGGATATGCTCCAAGTGAATTCAAAGAAGAAATAAAGAAAAACCAGATTTTTATAATGCTGATATACTTAAAATAATACTTAAATTTTGCAATTCTAGATGATGATGATGTTCCACACCTAAAAAGGCAGAAGAAGAATAACCTGAAGGTTGACTTCAAGGTCGACTATGAAGGCAATATCTTCTTAGATGTGAAGGATGTGTTCTGTGAGCTGGCAGAGTTAATGTCTAAGAAAGGCGCGGAAGATAAAGAGTGGATTGAAACAGCCAGGTATTAGTATATGGCATCATCTATAACTCTTTACAGTTTCTGGTCAAGTAGGGCTTTTGATTGTGAAGGAACTTAAATGAAACCAAGACTTAACAGCAGTTTCGATTCGTTTTCCCTCCGTTTGACCTTTGACGTCATTGGTGTAAATGTATACAGAAGATCTCCCTCCTCTCTCTCTCTCTCTCTCTTTTAAAAACAATATACGGTAGGTATGAATCTTTTTTGTCATATGGATGGGCTTGATAATTTTCTATAACCACATTGTGATTTTTGGAAGATTCATTAGACATTTTATGAAAGGACTTTTACATTATATAAATGTACTACATGGTCGTCCTTGCTTTTGTTATCGTATCTCATACATGTATAACAGTTATTTCAAATTATCTAAACATGAGAAATCCCTCTCTCTGTTTCTGCACACACACACACACACACACACACACACCATTACCATATATATATGCCCTTTTTCCTCATTTCTAAACCTAGGTGGGTCAAATTTGAAGAGGATGTAGAGCTGGACGGTGGAAAGTGGTCCAAACCCCGCGTGGCCACGCTGCAGATGAACCAACTTCGCACATTCCGTGATTTGCTGGCCGAAGGAGCATATCTCCAGGATCTGGACGGCAACACATTCCCTGAGGTTGTCGGTAAGAATAAAACCAACTGTTAAGTCTAAGAACCCGTAAACAAAACGCACACACAATGTTTGAATATGAATATGGGATGATCAAATTTGCCATTCAAAGTTAGTTATTATAAATATCACCTTACTTATATGTGGCCTAGAAATTTAAAAATCGCGTATGAACACTGAAATCGGTCGAATGCGAGTGCCCTTCCCTATAATCGCTGTTGACAGTTTTTGACCTTCCTTCAAACCAACTGAATATCACTCATATGAATATCTTTATTTCTTTTAGATTCTTTGGTGGAAAGGCTATCACGGGCAGTCCCAGAAAATATTTCAGAGGAGAAGTTGAAAGACGTGCTGCTGAGAAAACATCATCACCAGCACGAAAAGAAACCGAGCTACTCGTTAGCGAACTTTAAGCGGAGTTTGTCCACCACGAAATCGGAGGAGGCGTCCGCTTCAAACGGTAAGGCAATATAAATGCAACATTGTAAATTAAGACATTTATCATCAAATACACACTATACCGGCCTCCTAAGCAATGTTCAGCTTTTTAATACATATTACCAGTTTGCGAAAGTTAGCAATTATATAAGATATCGCTATAAAATACCAAAAAATATTGATCTTTACCGAAGCCACATTATTGTGGCTTGTAACCCATATATTTTAATACTTAAAATTTTTTATATTATTGTCATCGCATGTACTTTGCATTATGCTTTTAACACGAAAACTATATTTGACCGGAATTGCACGCACGGAAATAAGAAGATTATAAATACTGGTATATGCCTAATCCGCAATATTTAATATTTAATTATACTTATATTACCGAAATCGCATGCATATATATATATATATATATATATATATATATATATATATATATATATATATCACTTTGAATCCTATAAACCATATATATGTACATGAAAACTTATTATTCATATATCTGCGTGGTGCAATCGCGCTTTTCCTTTTTTCAGTAATTGATAATTGCTTATATGTTAAATTTTGCAGGGTTGTCATTCAGTATGGATAACATTTATTTTTTTGAAAAAATATGACCATTTTCAAAACATTGAATTGTATTGATCATTCTGAGGATCTTCATCTTTTCTTATATATTTGCATTTATGAAGCATTTGTTTTTTTTAATTAAAATGTATTTCCTTTTGAATCAGAAGCTTAAACCTATATTCCATACCAAATGCCTTCCCCCTGGAACCTGCTTTTCTTTCTTTGCTTAATATGTCGTCTGCTTTAACAGTGCTTCAGGCAACAATTTTAACTTGCCAAACGCATGCCTTTAAACTGCATTTTAACCAGGCTTTAAAAGCTTTGAGAAAAAGAATGGATTGACAACATCAACCAGTTTTACCAACGGTACGTCACCCATATTGAAAGATAATTTATCCAACCAGATGCCTCTTGAAAACGACCTTCGAAAAACAAGACCTCTCAGAAGAAACTATTCCCTAATTAACACAGGTAACATTGATGATTATGATGGTTACACAGACCGCTTAATGCTTTCTCTTTATCCCGTCAATCTGAAGAATATATGACCATGAGATAATATTTCTATTTTTCTGATGAATTTGTAGTATCATAGTGTTGCATTATAAAGGAATAGAAATGAAGTGATCGAGCTCCCCTGGTGATGCCTGCTACGTTACGAAAGCCAATAAGAATCGTAATTTCTGTCGTATCGTGTACTATGAATCTAACGTAGAAACCAGAATAATGAACAACTAAACTGATTTCTGCAAAGATCAATTGCAGTCAACTTGAAAGTACACGTAATTTGTAAATACATTGACAACGTAAATATTTACAGAAAATCATGTATCAGATTTTTAATTATCCATATTCTAGGTGATAGGAGATTATTCAGCAGAAGTGAGAGTACCAAAACTGATGGAACTGACCCCGAAGACCCCGAGAGTTTTGGGACCGATGGTGATGACGTATTTAAGGACAGTGATGAAATATACAAGGTAATCAACATTAGCCCGTGGGCAAAAAATCGAAATCATCCTCCGTTAGCGATTTACATTCACTTTGTTTTTATGATAGCTTAGGTCATAAGCTTTTGTTTTCAGCTTATGTGCGATTAAACTGGTGGTGGTGGTGTGAGTGCCAGAGCCGTTGCCATGGTAACCCATGGGTTTAAAATCGATGTGTCTGAGACCCAGAAATGTCTATTGTTTTTAAATGCATTAAGTTAATGAAATTCAAAACCATTTCAGATGTGTAGTTTTTCAAAGATGGCGGCAAATTAAAATGGCGGCCATTTTTTGCTGATTTTTGAGGAATTTTGATAATTTTTAATATGTGATATTTATGTAATTATCAAGGGATTAGAATGTGAGGGGGCTTTTGATGTGCAAGAGTAGCAAGAAATTTGTACTTTCTGCCTTATGCGTGTGCTTGAGATGCAACCTTTGTAGTAAGATGGAAAAGCCTGATATCCAAGATGGCTGCCACAAAAACATGTCTTTTACATATTGTTGTCTATAATACTACATTTATCACCCCAAAATATAGATATCTTATCATTTTGATGTACTGAATACAGATTGTTTTACACAGAGATTGAGACGTCACATTTTAGAGCTTATAATCTCAGTAACGGGCCAGATTTGCAGAAAAAGTGGTGTACTAATTTCATTCATTGTCTTTATGTGTTAATGTGTTCTTTATTGTGTTCACACTAAAAGGATACTGAACCAGTCTTCTTGTACATTCTGTAAGCTCTGTTGAAACATGGACAAAATTACGTTATAATGTCCAAGGTTGAAATTATAGAATTGACCTGCTTGTTTGATTGTTACAAATGTTAGGTGAAGGTTCTTATTGTAAAATTGCGACAAAAATATCAGAACCCTCACGTGCCAATTATTCTATTCTATTTTATCGAAATTATTTCAGCCGAACCAAAATTTCATGAGAAAGATTCCAAAGGGTGCCGAAGTGTGTAACATACTTGTGGGCAACGTGGACTTTCTGCCGAATCCTCTGTGTTGCTTCTGTCGCCTGTCCAACGCTTCCATTCTGGGTGACATGACGGAAGTACCGCTGCCCACGCGGTTCATATTCTTACTGCTGGGACCAGCGAGGGATCCGGAAAGCAGTTATCATGACCTTGGCCGAGCTATGGGAGCTCTGATGTGTGATGAAGTAGGTCGTGGTGACTTAAACGAAACAAGGACGTATATTATATGTTATATGTTTTAATTTATTTTCGATTTTGACTCACCTTTGGTTGATTTAAGTTTTGGATGTCTCGCTTAAAATTTGTAGCAATTTTTAGCAATATCTTCTGTAGAATACTTGCATTTTCAAAGTAATTTTCAGAGTCATTTTGTGTCAAGGTGTTTCAAGAATGCGCCTACAAAGCCCACAATATGCAGGAGCTGGTGGATGGAGTGGATGAGTTCATAGATTCAACTACAGTGCTGCCATCTAGCGAGTGGAACCCTGCCATACGCGTCGAGCCGCCACAAAATATCCCCTCGCAGGTAGGCCTACGCATTTGAAAAGCGCATTTTGATTCACATGCCAGAAATGATAGCACTGAAAATTGCAAAAGAAATCACTGTTTCGGTGTTTCTGTCATCTTTTTTTCAGTTCATCAAAATAAGAAAATGATAAATAAGAAGTTTTATTGAAGTTAATGCCTGTTGAAAAGAAGAGGGACGTGATAATATTGAACCATAGCATGTCCTTGAAAACATACGGGGCTAATGTACCAAGTCATCATCAGGAAATATTATTCTAATAAAATCAAATTACTCAAAACCACTCTTTTATCTTTACAGGCTAAACGCAAGAAAAAAATGAAAAAAACTATGATTGGAAGGCGCCGATCAAGTGTTGCCAGCGCCATCTATTTTAAAGCACGTCGGTTTAGTTCATTATTGGATGAAGATGATGAGGAGGAAGAAGTGCCTGGTCATGCAGACCCCACTTTGATACGGACTGGGAGGTGTGCTGTCACTGTTTAGTGTTGTAAAGCACGGTTGTTAATTTTTTTCGTTAATAAATTTTAATCAACATGGGCCCATTTTGTTATGTTAAATAATTGGCCTTGTTTTGTTTTCAAATAGACATATTTTTGTGTCAGAATATCATCTACTGGTATTTGATATAAAAATAAATAGGCCCTATGCAAAATCCTTTTTGTAAAAAATTATTTATAGATACTATGTATTGTTTGGCAGTGATTGGAATTCAAATCCACGTCAACTGAAAACGTTGTACACCAATGCAGGTCTACCTATGCGTAATTCAATATTAAACGTCGATTTGGCTCCCATATTATCTTCCATTCTAACTTATTTCTATTCCTAGGCCCTTTGGGGGTCTTGTTGACGATTTCAAGAGGAAAATACGATGGTACCTGTCGGATTTTAGAGACGCTATTCATTACAAATGCTTGGCGCCCTTCATCTTCTTGTACTTTGCTCTTCTGACTTCGAACGTCACGTTTGGTGGGTTGTTAACTGAGGGAACGCATTCGCATTTGGTAAGTTTCGGTTATGGTCCTACAGATGAAGCTAAAATGAATTTAAAAAAAAATGCTGTTTCGACTGTTTCGTCATTATGTTTCTTTCTACGTTTGACTTCTCAGTTCCAATGAACATAATGAAGATTCTGTTTTAGAGCATATCTTCAGATGAGTCAAATTTCAAGAAAAAAAAATTATGTTGTGGCTTACTGTACATTATTATCAGCATTCATGGGTATTATGAACAAAGGTCTATTAATTTCAGGGAAATATTGAAAACATCCTTGGTGCTGCCATCTGTGGAGCAACGTACGCACTATTCTCTGGCCAACCGTTAACCATCATCAGTAGTACTGGGCCCATGCTGATCTTCGAGAAAGTTTACTACAAATTTTGCAAGTAAGTTTTTACAAGTCTTACGGGTACAACGTGACACCTCGGCCCCCTTTTCCATGTGGTTGAAGTTTTATATTTAACATCAACCCAAATCCGTTCTTTGGAAAAAATAAATGGTCGGGATCACTTCACTCCAGTATTGGAAGTGGCCAAGAAAGATGTCTCATTTCCAATTTTTATGATATCTATAATATATATATGTTTATAATTTTTATAACAACACTTTCTCCATTGCGAAAATGTTGACATTGTTTGACGCACCGATAAACGGTCATTGCATTTCTGCCACAGGTTGAATTCCGGTAGTTCAAATTTTTTACAAAGATGACAAATTTGAAACCATAATTCATCTATTTAAACACGACACACACTTACAGGCGCTAAAGTATACTCAATGTGAAATACTTAATACACTCATAACATATGCCATTAAAATACCCCTGCTTTTCGCTTATAGCGACCGTGGCTGGGATTACCTGGAATCCAGGGTGTGGGTCGGACTGTGGATAAGCATCATCCTTCTCGTCATCGTCGCCTTTGACCTTAGCGCCCTGGTCAGGTACATTACAAAATTCACCGAGGAGAGCTTCGCCATGCTTATTTCCTTGATCTTTATATTTGAGGCCTTCGAGAAGACCGTGTCTATATCTGACCACTACCCAGTGCACATGCATACAGAAAGGGCACAAAAACACGAGTGCTATTGTCTGCATCCCAACATGACAGGTAAGTGCTCCGCGTCAAACTTGGGCGCTTTCTTGTATAAAGTGGAAAGTACATTTACATAGGCGATGTAAGAAGTGGTAGGACACCCAAAGGGTCGGGACACTATCAAGCCGTTAATATGTGCTCAATACATGTAATTTTCAGATACCTTTAATTCCTCGGATATATATACTAGTCTGCATCTGCCGTTTAACTGCACTTTCAACCCAGGAGAAGACGACTTTGGCCATCTACCCCACGGTCCCGAGTGCATGAACAGGTGAGAAATAAACGCTGAAGGTAGCGGTACTGAAACAGGAGCGGATTGAGGCCGTCTTCTGGGTCTTCCGGAAGACGGTCATAATTTCAACTTTACATTTACAGGAATCTAAATTTTTTTCTGTCGGATGACGGTCAAAAATGGATAATAGATCAACAAAGATAATTTGGAAGACTGTCAGGAAATATCTCGTCATCCGCCCCTGTGGAAGCACCGTTGGAATGGAAGGTTATTTCATGCCATCTTAACAAACAGGCTTAAATACAAACCGTAGGGTGACATAGTCCCCGAAGTTGCGTCACAGGTCATGAGATTTTGTGGAGATCAAAACACGTGCTCTAGTATAAAATTGTAAAAATGCTCTAGTATAAAGTTGTATGTTACATATAGTTTTTAAATTTTACTACATAACAAGGAAATGTAGACCTCTACGTCAAAGGATTATCTGAGGCAATATCGATGTATTATCATAATATTATCAAGTTACATGATTTAGTACATTGATACCCATACATTACTGTAAGTTTATACATGTTGACCTTATTTTCGGCATCCTTTATTTTCAAAATAGAGGCGCGTTTCACTTCGGTTCTTTGAATATTAACTGCTCTATATTAAAAGTAATTAACCCAATGCCAATTTTTTGGACCGTGTCTCCAACTTGGCTATGCCGTAATATTTTTTATTACGTCAAACATTGAGGCAACATGGACTTTGCTGTCTTCCAACATGACATTTCTGTTGTGAGCGCGCCATTCCTTACTTGTGGACAATATACTCATACAATATATTTATCCATCTCAATAGTTAAGTGACTACACTTTTTTTCAGACCCATAGTGTCAATGTTCGAATGCACAGCAGATGGAGGTGTATTACATGGTCCCGGTTGCTTTGAGGAGAAATTTGTAGAGAACGTTTTCTTCTTCTCTGTACTGCTATTTTTGGGGACATTCATCATCGCTTGGAAGTTGAAACAATTTAGAGCTAGTAATTATTTTCCAAGCAAGGTAATTTTCATTTGTAAATTGATAAAAGGTGAAACACTGTCACGTCAGCTTAATCTTTGTTTTGCAAATGTTGAAATAGAGAAAAGCCCTCAGAGTTTTACAAATGAGATAAGGTGCCACAATACAATGTACCTAATGGTAGTTGTCGATACATCACAAGGTTATTATATAAAATAAGTTTTTAATATTAAGTGATTTTACATTTTAACAGACTGCTTCAGGAGCATAGGGCTATGTTTGCATCGAAATAAAAAGAGTTTTGTTATTGGTTACCGTGTATATTAGAATTATTTGAGACGGGTTAGTATAAATAACGTCTAAATACGCGACTTGACCACAGAAGAAATTTGTGATCGCTTGGAAGCTCATAGTAATGATGAGAGATGCGCGAGCTTATTTAAAATATTGTAAAAATGTGTTTGCATATAACGTCTTTAATGAATGGGGACATGAAACTAAAATGAGCGTCGAGAAAAATGTATAACCCGTTTTCACAAAGTTTTTCTCAAATATTGTTGGCCATCGTGCCAGTCCATTTAATATAACGTTGAAATGTTAATAGACTATTTTATTGAACAATAAATACTTCCTTCGTTTCTATTCACATAAACACAGGTCCGCTCTGTGGTGAGTGACTTCGCCGTTCCCATTGCTCTCGCCATCATGATCGGGGCTGATCGTATTGTTTCCATTGATACGCCAAAACTGAACGTTCCCAGCAAAATACAGGTAATAATAGATCAAGAGCAAATGAAGTTGTATCAGTAGTGTTTTCTTTCTGGGTCGGATGAAAATTTGAAGTTTGCTTTATTTAATTTTGTATAACTGCACCGTGAACACTAACTATGTTTTGCGAACACATATTGACTTTGGGGCCATCTACTTTTATCCTCCTTTTTCCCAAGTATAAAAGACTCCTTTTTCAGACCCCCTCCCCCCTTCAGAGAATACAAGGTGAAAAGCTAAACATGATAACATGATTACCTTTGCCTTCAATTTGGATCATCATTTTCATTCTTTTTTTCTAAAGCGTACAAAGGGTATTACCCTCAACCCCCTCCTCAGTGTACGGTTTGTAGACTTGATGAAAATTGTGATGAAAATAGATGACCCCTTTTGATTCAATCTCCAGCCCACCTATGAAAACAGAACCAGCTGGATTGTCAACCCTCTGACCGAGAACAACCCATGGTGGTTGGCCCTAGCAGCCATCCTACCAGCCGCCTTGGCAACAATATTGATCTTCTTGGACCAGCAGATAACGGCTGTCATTGTGAACCGTAAGGAAAACAAGTTGAAGGTACGCAACGCAAATACCCTTAGCAAAATGAAAAGTTTGCAGCAAACTTGCAAAAAATTTGCAGCAAATTTGCTGCAAACCAAATAGTTTGCAAGAAACTGTTTGCAGGTTGTTGCAAGAAAAATCAGAGTTGTTGCAAATTTGCTGCAAATTTGCAGGAAGATTAAAAGTTTGCAGGTAGTTCGCAAGAAAACTATCATTTTCTAGCAAATTTGCAGCAAATTTGCAAGAAAGCTTCTATTTTCTTGCAAATTTGCAGCAAATTTGCAAGAAGACCCTCATTTACATAAAAGTTTGCTGGATGTTTGCAAGAAAGACTATACACTGTTGCAAATTTGCAGCAAATTTGCAAGAAACTGCTCATTTACATAAAAGCCTGAAGAAAGTTTGCAAGGATAAATATACCCTGTTGCAAATTTGCAGAAAATTTGCAAGAAAACCTTCATTTACATAACATTTTGCAGGAAGTTTGCAAGAAAGCCTAACATTGTTGCAAATGCNTAGTTGGAAGAGACACACCTGACTACACACTTCTCCATTCACATATCTTATATGAGATATTAGTATTTTGAAAAAAGAACGCATTTCTACCTAGGCACACCTTCGAAACTGAAATATTCCATATTAAATGTCAAGTCTGTATTTTTTTGTCATTTTTACGTACTGAATACAGATTGTTTTACACAGAGATTGAGAAGTCACATTTTACTGTCTATAATCTCAGTAACGGGCCAAATTTGCAGAAAAAAGTGGTGTACTGTTTTCATTTATTGTCTTTATGTGTTAATGTACTTTTTCTTGTGTTCACACTAAGAGGATACTGAACCAGTCTTCTTGTACATTCTGTAATCTCTGTTGAAACATGGACAAAACTACGTTATTATGTCCAAGGTTGAAATTATAGAATTGACCTAAATTTGACCTTGTTTGATTGTTTACAAAATGTTAGGTGAAGGTTCTTATTGTAAAATTGCGAAATAAAAATATCAGAACCCTCAAGTGTTAATTATTCTATTCTACTTTATCGAAATTATTTCAGCCGAACCAAAATTTCATGAGAAAGATTCCAAAGGGTGCCGAAGTGTGTAACATACTTGTGGGCAACGTGGACTTTCTGCCGAATCCTCTGTGTTGCTTCTGTCGCCTGTCCAACGCTTCCATTCTGGGTGACATGACGGAAGTACCGCTGCCCACGCGGTTCATATTCTTACTGCTGGGACCAGCGAGGGATCCGGAAAGCAGTTATCATGACCTTGGCCGAGCTATGGGAGCACTGATGTGTGATGAGGTAAGTTGCGGTCGCTAAAACGAAAAAAGATACCTTACCCCCCCCCCCCTCCCCCCCCCGTTCGTACGTTAAGTTTTGATTTTGATTCATTTTCGTTTTAACTCACCTTTGGTTGATTTTTTAAAAAATCTGGATGTCTGGGTAAAAATTTGTATCAATTTTAGCAATATCTTCTATATAATACTTGTATAGTCAAAGTAATTTTCAGAGTAATTTTGTGTCAAGGTGTTTCAAGAATGCGCCTACAAAGCCCACAACATGCAGGAACTGGTAGATGGAGTAGACGAGTTCATAGATTCAACTACAGTGCTGCCATCTAGTGAGTGGAACCCTGCCATACGCGTCGAGCCGCCACAAAATATCCCCTCGCAGGTAGGCCTACGCATTTGAAAAGCACTTTTTGATTCACGTGCCAGAAATGATAGCACTGAAAATTGCAAAAGGAATCACTGCTTCGGCATTTCTGTCATCTATTTTTCAGTTCATCAAAATAAGAAAATGATAAATAAAAAGTTTTATTGAAGTTAATGCCTGTTGAAAAGAAGAGGGACGTAATAATATTGAACCAAAGCATGTCCTTGAAAACATACGGGGCTAATGTACCAAGTTACCATCAGGAAATATTATTCCAATAAAATCAAATTACTCAAAACCACTTTTTTATCTTTACAGGCTAAACGCAAGAAAAAAATGAAGAAAAATATGATTGGAAGGCGCCGATCAAGTGTTGCCAGCGCCATCTATTTTAAAGCACGTCGGTTTAGTTCATTATTGGATGAAGATGATGATGAGGAGGAAGAAGTGCCTGGTCATGCAGACCCCACTTTGATTCGGACTGGGAGGTGTGCTGTCACTGTTTAGTGTTGTAAAGCACGGTTGTTAATTTTTTTCGTTAATAAAATCTTAATTAACATGGGTCCATTTTGTTATGTTTAATAATTGGCCTTGTTTTGTTTTCAAATAGACATATTTTTGTGTCAGAATATCATCTACTGGTATTTGATATAAAACTAAATATGCAAAATCCTTTTTGTAAAAATTTATTTATAGATACTATGTATTGTTTGGCAGTGATTGGAATTCAAATCCACGTCAACTGAAAACGTTCTACACCAATGCAGGTCTTCCTATGCGTAATTCAATATCAAACGTCCATTTGGCTCCCATATTATCTTCCATTCCAACTTATTTCTATTTTTAGGCCCTTCGGAGGTCTTGTTGACGATTTCAAGAGGAAAATACGATGGTACCTGTCGGATTTTAGAGACGCTATTCATTACAAATGCTTGGCGCCCTTCATCTTCTTGTACTTTGCTCTTCTGACTTCGAACGTCACGTTTGGTGGGTTGTTAACTGAGGGAACGCATTCGCATTTGGTAAGTTTCGGTTATGGTCCTACAGATGAAGCTAAAATGAATTTTAAAAAAACTGCTGTTTCGACTGTTTCGTCATTAAGTTCCTTTCTACGTATTGACTTCTCAGTTCCAATGAACATAATGAAGATTCTGTTTTAGAGCATATCTTCAGATGAATCAAATTTTTAAAAAATAATATTTTTTTTAATGTTGTGGCTTACTAAACATTATTATCAGCATTCATGGGTATTATGAGCAAAGGTCTATTAATTCCAGGGAAATATTGAAAACATCCTTGGTGCTGCCATCTGTGGGGCAACGTACGCACTATTCTCTGGCCAACCGTTAACCATCATCAGTAGTACTGGGCCTATGCTGATCTTCGAGAAAGTTTACTACAAATTTTGCAAGTAAGTTTTTACAAGTCTTACGGGTACAACGTGATACCTCGGCCCTCTTTTTAATGTGGTTGAAGTTTTATATTTAAAATCAACCCAAATTCGTTCTTTGGAAAAATAAATGGTCGGGATCACTTCACTCCAGTATTGGAAGTGGCCAAGAAAGATGTCTCATTTCCAATTTTTATGATATATATATATATATATATATATATATGTTTATAATTTTTATAACAACACTTTCTCCATTAAGAAAATGTTGACATTGTTTGACGCACCGATAAACGGTCATTGCAGCATTTTTGCCACAGGTTGAATTCCGGTAGTTCAAATTTTTTACAAAGATGACAAATTTGAAACCATAATTCATCTATTTAAACACGACACACACTTACAGGCGCTAAAGTATACTCAATGTGAAATACTTAATACACTCATAAGATATGCCATTAAAATACCCCTGCTTTTCGCTTATAGCGACCGTGGCTGGGATTACCTGGAATCCAGGGTGTGGGTCGGACTGTGGATAAGCATCATCCTTCTCGTCATCGTCGCCTTTGACCTTAGCGCCCTGGTCAGGTACATTACAAAATTCACCGAGGAGAGCTTCGCCATGCTTATTTCCTTGATCTTTATATTCGAAGCCTTTGAGAAGACCGTGTCTATATCTGACCACTACCCAGTGCACATGCATACAGAAAGGGCACAAAAACACGAGTGCTACTGCCTGCATCCCAACATGACAGGTAATTGCTCCGCGCAAAACTTGGGCGCGTTCTTGTATAAAGTGGAAAGTACATTTACATAGGCGATGTAACGTCGCCAGACTGCCTCAACGCTTAAACACGGGGGGTGCAGCTTTTAAAGTTAAGTGGATGATCTTAGTGTCTTCACATGAATTGTTCGCGGCTCAAGTTATTTTTTCTAATTATGTTTAACGCACTTTTTGTCTGTTGTGAATCAGTATGAAAGAAAATCGCAGGGTTACAAAGTTTCACAACTGCCAAAGGGGTGGATGTGATTAATCGAGCGCTTCATACTTGTGTATTCAGCCATCATAGACTGATATTTTCACAACCGGATAATTTTTCGCTGTCTGCTGGGAACCGCAATCTGTTCCTAATTACTTTGTACAGGTGACATTCGTCCCATTAACTAACTCCGAACATTCATGTCAATTCACCGTATAGATCTTAAATGAAAAATTAAGCACAATTACTGATGCATCTCTGAAGATTATATATGACATCTGTAAAGTAGATCTTCGGAGATGCATCAGTAATAACACTTATTATTTACTAATTCCAAAACTCCGACTAAGCCTTACCTGTACCAGTAATATGAGACCCCGGACTTCCATTCCTGGGACTACCATTCCTAGCACACCGGTCTATCACCTCAGTGTACATGTAGATGTAGCCTGTAATTGTTACAGCTGATATCGTTTTACTTGTAAACAACAGTTAGTATCATTGATAAGCAAAATTTAAGACGTGGTAGGACACCCAAAGGGTCAGGCCACTATCAAGCCGTTAATGTGTGCTCAATACATGTAATTTTCAGATGCATTTAATTCCTCGGACATATATACTAGTCTACATCTGCCGTTTAACTGCACTTTCAACCCAGGAGAGGACGACTTTGACCATCTTCCCCACGGTCCCGAGTGCATGAACAGGTGAGAAATAAACGCTCGGGGTACCGGTACTGGAACAGGGGCGGATTGAGGCCGTCTTATGGGTCTTCCGGAGGACGGTCATAATTTCAAGTTGACATTTATGGGAATCTAATTTTTTGTCGGAAGACGGTCAAAAATGGATAATAGATCAACAAAGATAATTTAGAAGACTGTCAGGAAATATCTCTTCATCCGCCCCTGTGGAAGCACCGTTGGAATGGAAGGTCATTTCATGCCATCTTAACAAACAGGCTTAAATACAAACCGTACGGTGACATAGTCCCCGAAGTTGCGTCACAGGTCATGTGATTTTGTGGAGATCAAAACACGTGCTCTAGTATAAAAAGGTCTGTTGTATGTTACATATAGTTTTTAAATTTTCCTACATAACAAGGAAATGTAGATCTCTACGTCAAAGGATTATCTGAGGCAATATCGATGTATTATCATCATATTATCAAGTTACATGACGTAATACATTGATACCCATAGATCACTGCAAGATTTATAGACCTTATTTTCGGCATTCATTATTTTCAAAATAGATGTGCGTTTCACTTCTGTTCCTTGAATGTAAACTGATCTAGATTAAAAGTAATTAAACCACTGCCAAATTTTTGGAACCGTGTCTCCAACTTGGCTATGCCGTAATATTTTTATTACGTTAAACATTGAGGCAACATGGACTTTGCTGTCTTCCAGCGTGACGTTTCCGTTGTGAGCTCGCCATTCCTTACTTGTGGACAATAGACTCATACAATATATTTATCCATCTCAATAGTTAAGTGACTACACTTTTTTTCAGACCCATAGTGTCAATGTTCGAATGCACAGCAGATGGAGGTGTCTTACATGGCCCCGGTTGCTTTGAGGAGAAATTTGTAGAGAACGTTTTCTTCTTCTCTGTACTGCTATTTTTGGGGACATTCATCATCGCTTGGAAGTTGAAACAATTCAGAGCTAGTAATTATTTTCCAAGCAAGGTAATTTTCATTTGTTAATTGATAAGAGGTAAAACACTGTGACGTCAGCCTAATCTTTGTTTTGCAAATGTTGAAATAGAGAGTTTTACAAATGACCTACGGTGCCGCAATACCCAAGGGTAGTTGTGGATTCATCACAAGGATATTATATTAATTAAGTTTTTAATATTAAATGATTTTACATTTTAACAGACTGCTTCAGGAGCATAAGGGCTATGTTTGTATCGAAATAAAGAGTTTTGTTATCGGTTACCGTGTATATTAGAATTATTTGTGACGGGTTAATATAAATACCATTTACATACGCGAGCTGACCACAGAAGAAATTTGTACTCGCCCGGAAGCTCATAATAATGGTGAGGGATGCACCGGGCTTATTTAAAATATTGTAAAAAATGTATTTGCATATAACGTCTATAATGAATGGGGACATGAAAATAAAATGAACGTCGAGAAAAATGTATAACCCGTTTTCACAAAGTTTTTCTCAAATATTTTTGACCATATCATACCAGTGCATTAAATAATACGTTGAAATGTTAATAGACTATTTTATTGAACCATAAATACTTCCTACGTTTCTATTAACAAAAACACAGGTCCGCTCTGTGGTGAGTGACTTCGCCGTTCCCATTGCTCTCGCCATCATGATCGGGGCTGATCGCATTGTTTCCATTGATACGCCAAAACTGAACGTTCCCAGCAAAATACAGGTAATAATAGATCAACAGAAAATGAAGTCGTATCACCAGTGTTTTCTTTATGGGTGGGGTGAAAATTTAAAGTTTGTTTTATTTAATATTGTATAACTGCACCGTGAACACTAATTATGTTTTGCAAACACAAATTGACTTCGGAGTCATCCACTTTTATCATCATTTTCACAATTCTACAAAGAGGAAACTTTTTCAGACCGCCTCCTCCCTTCAGAGAGTACAAGGTGAAAAGCTTTAAATGATGACTTGATGACCTTTGCCTGCAGTTTGGATCATTATTTTTTATTATTTTTTTCTAAAGCGTACAGAGGGCATTAACCCCCCTCCCCCAAGCGTATGTTTTGTAGAATTGGGTAGAGTTGGGAAAATGATAATAAAAATTGACAACTTCTTAATATGATATGAACCCTTGATTCAATCTCCAGCCCACCTATGAAAACAGAACCAGCTGGATTGTCAACCCTCTGACCGAGAACAACCCATGGTGGTTGGCCCTAGCAGCCATCCTGCCAGCCGCCTTGGCAACAATATTGATCTTCTTGGACCAACAGATAACGGCTGTCATTGTGAACCGTAAGGAAAACAAGTTGAAGGTACGCAAATAAGTAACGTAAGTGTTGTTTTTTAGGTGGTTTTGACTGTAACAGGACACACCATTTCTGTTCATCGTTATTCCAGATACGATAGTGCTTCATTGACTGCAGCAAGTGTCGTGTAGGCCATGGTTAGATTTTGAAATGACAGATGATAATTCCACGGTTGCCAAGTAGGCATATTAATTTCGGCATTAATTAGATACATTACAATTCTGTACACACAGTATGTATCACATTTCGGCCCTTTTAAAAACCTACTACTTCCCCCGCCTTTTAACAAACCGCTTTCGTTTTTTTTTAACAGAAAGGAAGAGGGTACCATCTGGACTTGTTTGTCCTTGCCGTTCAAATTGGCCTATGTTCAATTTTCGGCCTCCCTTGGTTCGTGGCGGCCACTGTGGAGTCGCTGACCCACGTGGACAGTTTGAAGGAGGAGAGCGAGTGTACGGCGCCAGGAGAGAAACCCAAGTTCCTCGGAGTAAGGTGAGGAGAATATCCTTTTATTTAACAAATTTTAAACACACAAATTCAGTCTCTCTCTCTCTCTCTCTCTCTCTCTCTCTCTCTCTCTCTCTCTCTCTCTCTCTCTCTCTCTCTCTCTCTCGAACACACACACACACACTTTAAAAAAAGACAAAAATGATAATAATGGGAATGGAAATAGGTTTTACTGTTATTTAAACATCTTCGTCAGAGGTTAACATTCTTTGCACATGTACATAAGTGATCCGCAGCAGATTACGATATATTGGTAGAGTTCTGTTGTCTTTGTTTGTGATTGCACGTACACCTTACTATCGATAGTTCACTGCCTATCGTAATATTTGTATAGCATAACTTATAAAACTACTTTTCGTTCCATTACAGAGAGCAACGAGTGACAGGATTTTTCATATTTGTTCTCATAGGATGTTCGGTATTTTTATCAGGATTCTTGCAGGTAAGACTGCGCGTATCATGTTAGCCTTGAAATGCAATTGGTCACAAGATGAGATATTTTTGGTCTTTATGGTAGAATGCAATTAATGAATTAATCACTTAAACGAATGTTGTCTTTTTTATTCTGTTAAAATCATTTCAGTATGTCCCAATGCCGGTGCTCTATGGGGTTTTCCTATACATGGGCGTCTGCGCACTGAAGGGTAAAGAGGTAAATGTATTACCCTAATTTTATTTGCAATTCTGCGTTATAAGTTATTTTATAGGATCTTCAAATTAATTTTTTTTAAATTAAAATTCAAATCTTTACAATAAACTGTGTGTCGGCTTTCTGTATAGGATTTTGACTTTGGCTACTTTCCAAACACTGTCGGCTCTATCCCTTCGTATACGGACTCTAATGGTCGCTGTGCAATTGTATAAAAATACTTGTAGATATAGTACAACTAACCATTTTCTTTCTATTAATAAAGCTGATGCAGAGAATCCGCATCATCTTCATGCCCCAGAAATACCAGCCGGATTACATGTTCCTGCGTCACGTGAAGACCAAGAGAATCCACATCTTCACCCTGATCCAGGTCGTGTGCCTGGCGCTCCTGTGGGTGGTCAAGATGGTCAAAATTATATCCATTGCGTTCCCATTGATGGTAAGAAACGGGAGTTTTTTAAGATATTTAATGATGGCATATAAGTGAGATGCATACTAAAAATGCTCGCATTTTACCGAACTAAGTATATCGCCACGGCCACGGTCAAAACATGCCTAGGTATGTATAGTTAAAGATAAAAGGGGAGAGTTTCAGAAGAGGATGTTATTTTTTGACAAATGCATGTTCTGCGCTTAGACCGGTGTAGAATTATGGGACCATTTATAAGTTCCACAACATTTCACTTCTCCATTTTCCACGAAACACAATACACGCACGCACACGTGTTCCCAGTACGTGTTAAATTGATTCACAGCAACATTGCGTGGTATTGTCACTCAAAAATCTCGAAAAGTTAAGAAGCTATATACATATTTTATGTCTTTCTATACTTCCAATTTATGTCAAATAGATGAATAGTATGACTATAACGATGTTGCATCCACCTCATGTGGACCTGGGCTGGTCACTGATAGTCCACCTGATAATTCACCGTTGCGATAGCACAACCTACACGGGAGATCTGACAAATTTATCGCTCAGGTAGTAAACTATCAGGTTAAACCATCAGATATCAGACGAGGTCCTTGCGAGGAGGATGCAACGTCGTCATGATGATAGAGCACAACCCTTGGCAGACATCACAAATTCACATACTGGTTAAAACACTGTGCACACGCATGCATGTACTTTCTTAAATATGGGTGTGTAAATTTCTATTCAGTTATTAAGAAAGTTGAGTTATTAATTCAGTATTTGACCACGCCCCCAGGTACTGGCCATGTGTGTGGTCCGCATTGTTCTCCTGGACAGGGTCTTCAACCAGAGGGAGCTGCTGTGGCTGGACGATATCCTCCCAGGCAAGGAGGTGACCACGGAGGACTGGGCAAGTTTTGATTTTTTTTCTTTCTTTCTTTTTATTTTTGATGAAAAATGTAGGCTACGGTTTCGTTTCTTTGCATTTTACTTTTAACTTTATTTAATGGAAAATGTTACAGTGGTTAACATTTATTTATTGTGTTGGAGAATGATGTGTTTATGGGGAAAATGTGACGTTCACTTACGTTCAACTACAGTTACAATTTATTCTTTGGTCAGTTGCATTTTACTACATCGCATTGAATATATAGTATATCGAATATGTATTGTGTCGAATTTTCTTCGGTTTCTTTTGTATATTATTTGTTATTATTTACTGATATTCTAATGGGAATACCTCAAATTTTGCAAATCCTAAACAACATTTGTAAATTCGTCTCTATTGTTGCATTTAGGAGGAGAAAGGAGGGCGTTCGTCAGATTCTGAAAGCGTTGACACCAAGGAAATCAACCAGAACACAAAGCTTGAGGGAGACGCGATGGTGTGAAGCGACCCAAATATAGACCACATTACGTGTATGCAAACAGATGACAAGTATTCAAATAGAGAGACTCTAAGAGTACATTCCCAGAGATTTAGATCGATCCATCTGGATCGACCTTACTCCCTGGGGGTTCACGCTAAATTGCTGTCAGTCGAGCGCGCACCATAGTTCATTACCCCCGTACAGCTTTTAGTAGGCGGTACAGACATTTAAGCCGGCTAAGCTGACAGTAATCTAGTGAGACTCCCCACAGGGATTGATCGATCTAAAATCTGTGGGAATGGGGTCTAATTAAACCCCCTATACACTGAAGGGCGTCCTTTCTGCGTCCTTTGTGCGACCATGAACCTGGCATCGCCGTGGTCGTAAAAAGGAGGCACAAGCATCGCTTTGGTTGCAAAATGAATGCTCAATGATAGGCCAGTTGTCGGCACATAAAGTATTATTGTTTTTTTCACTCTCAAACAGGACCGCACTACGTGACGCAGAATGGACGCCGCCCAGTGTAAAGGCGGTTTAAATAAACCAACAATAACAAGAAAACAGTTACTGTTACGCAAACAGCCCACAAGTTACTACATATAGAGTCTTTGCCTAAACCAACGACAACAAAAAAAGAAGTTACTTTTTTTGCACTTACATATTGTATTAGAAGTTATAAATTAAAGGAGCCGTTAATGTTTTGTTACTGTGCAAGGAAGAGGTGTGGTATTATGGAAATGCATCTATTTAATTGGCGTATTTCAAAGTTGACAAGCGGTGCAAACCAGCTAATATCGGTTGCGATATAGCAGAGGCTTTCTTACTTACATATTATATATACATATTATATTACCCTGTTGTATATAATATAACAGGGAGAAAATATTTTAAAATAAAAGTGTAGGCTAACCATTGCTCGTCAGTATTACGATAGATGGTTTCATGTAAGTATTTTGTTATGCCTGGGTGTTAACGTTCTGGTTATCACCAAACCTAATTTTATATTCCAGATAAACAAACTAGTCATCAAGACCTAGTTGATAGTTGTAAAAATCGTTGGCTCATCGAGAAATAACAATAGAAGCTAAATATATACTTTGTCACGAATAAAATTGTTACCACTCTACTTAGACAAGGTTTATTCTGAGCAAATAAGGATTTCCATGTTATGCTTGAAACATATTGCGTCCTCGCGGTATAAATACAGACTTGAGCTAGATGACGCTAAAATTGTAAATAATCTAAGAAAATATAAAAAGGAAAAAAAATTAAGTGATAAATATTCATTAGTGTACATGTATCTTTCTACGGGACTGTACATACAGTATTCATTGTATCTGTGCAAACAAAGGGGTGTAAAATAATGCCATTTAATTTTTGGTGTTATTTAAGGGCGTTTATGAAAATTTGTAATTGAAAAAATTATAACATGTACAGAAATTTATCTGAAGAATTAAAAGCAGTTTAACAAGAATTCTTGTTTGATTAATTGTGGGAAAACCTGGTTCGTAGAAAATAATAGTTTGAATAGTTTGAGAGTCAAATGTGTTTAGTTAATTTCAACATTTCAGACGTTCAATGTCTCATGAATCTAATTTTTAATAGGTAAAATTGATTTATCAGTCTTATTGACCCAGTCAACTAATAAAGTATATAAAAAACACAAAAATGTTAGTTCATTAAGTCGAAAGCAGTGTGAAAACCTTCCGCTACGTCGCACATACTGTATCTGTACTTTCTTGATTGTAGATTTGATATTACATCCTTTAAAATATCTAAATGTTTCCATTTTCCCTGGCACCAGTAACTTCGGGTCGAAATCGTCCAAACACCTCTTCTACAACATGGCGCAATTCTTGCTCTTTAATTACTTCTATAAAATAGAAGACAAAATTATCAAATCAAATCTGATAAAAAATTTGTGTGTGTGTACCCTCTACCAGGGCGACAGATTGATTTTTCACAGGATATTCACAGATATGCCCCTAGATAAATAGACAGTCATTTGGCTGTGTGTCTGTGGATTTTCCCGTTGTTACCTCCGCCAAGGCGTTTTCACCCCTGTTTGTTTGTCTGTCATAAACCTAACTCAAAAAGTTATGGACCGATTTTGATGAAATTTTAGGAACTGTCAGAAGTGGGCCAAGGAACAGATGATTAGTTTTTGGTGGTGATCCGGATCAATAATCAATCAATAATGAGAAATAAAAAAACTAAATCATTATAGAATGAAAATTTAGGGATGAAACGGCATTGGGTAGAGACTTTGCTGCCTTGGCGGAGGTCTGCGCTCTCTGCCTATATAATCTGCCACCCTGGTAGAGAGTAGTGTGTGTGTGTGTGTGTGTGTGTGTGTGTTTGTGTGTGTAGATATGAATGCTTACCCGTTTTACAGTTTTCATCTTCTTGTTTGACAGGGTTAAACCCATACCGGTAAACCAAAGTGGCAAGTGCGCCGCCAAGGATAGGGCCGACCCAGTAAACCTAGAGCAGAAATATTACGTGTACAGCCAACGTTTTGTAATAACAACTCCAAGTTGTAACAATTCAGAACAATCCTTATAACTTTACCGGCATCTTTATATGCGTCGAAAGTAATTTTACACGCATCGAAAGTAATGTTACTCGCGACGAAAGCAATTTTACTCATGACGAAAGTAATTTCCACGTGACGAATATTACATGTATGAGGCAAACTTTTAATGATAACAACTTTCAAGTTGTAACAATGATAAATTGTGACTTAATCTGCATCTATACATGTGACAGAAGCAATTTTACACGTGATGAAAGCTGTTTTACATGTGATGGAAGAAATATTACACAATACGAAATTGATCCAATAAAAACGTAAAAAGACTAGGCTACGATTAATAATGTGCCAAAACGTAACACGTTAAATAGTAGAAATCTAACATTATACATGTAGAATATGGGCTTATATAATATTTCAATATAATTGGTGGTCAGTACCCAGTGGTCAGTCCATATGTTAACGTAGACAGCAGGTCCCAGTGACCGGGCTGGGTTCATACTGGCCCCAGTGTGGTTAATCTGAAATATTAAATCTGTAACATTAAATTTTGTATTCATAACGGATGAGTTTTAACTTAGCAAACAATTAGTCAAGTTATCAAAGGAATAATTTAATGGATGAGAACAAGCAAGGAGGATAGAGAGGCATATGTAGGTAGTTCGGTAGGCACAAGTTAAGCTGAGAAATTCATCTGCAGCTAAACGATTTTTTTCTTTCAATTTATGGAATATGGAAAAAATGCACCCGTGATGTGAAAAGTTTATACCAGATAGATATGATTAGATATGCAACGCTCGAATATGAATTTACAAAAAATATCTTAACGTACCCCGCTGAGCACGTCCATGGCAACGGTCAGTCCAATGGCAATTCCGGGCATGGTCAACTTCCGGGCACTGTCCGTGGCGCCAAAGATCACGAAGACGAGGATGAAGGTCAAGTACATCTCTACGACCATACCCTGCGCGGGGGAAAGTAACGGGTTCACGGTGGTCGTGGCGAAGTTCCCCGTCGCATTTGGTGAGGTTACACTGAATGTATAGAAAATGTGATTTTTAGAGATGTAAACATTGTGAAAATACAGTCATAAATTAAAATACATATCATTGATCATATTACGAAATGAAAATAAAATAAATTTAAATAATTACGAGAAATTAAGAATAGTAATATACTGTTTTTCTCGTGTTTGTATGTTATTATAAACTCTTTTGAATACACGCTGCAGTTGTTTTATTCTGCTGTGGTGTTTTAATCTAATCGTCAGATATGGTCAGATCCCGCAACTGAAGGTTCCTATATCAATACTGCATTGGTGGTCAGTTCAAATTTTACTATTATCAGTGGTGATATGATAATTTACTACATACATGTTGTGTCGATAACGTGTACTCGTACAACAATACTCGGATCTGAAAGTCATGCAAGCTTGTTATACTTAAGATGAAAATTATGAGTCACCAATTGATGTAATACAACTCACAAAAATGAATGAATGAATGAATGATGAAAAAGACAAAAAAATTACGAAATAAAATAAAAACGGCTGCCTCCCTGACTGTGTCAATGTTTTAACCATAGTTCATTGGGTGTTTTGTCAGTTTCGTAGCAATAGGTGAAAATATCTTTTCAAACCACTGTTGCCGTGGGTAACAAGAGCTCAACCTTATCAGTGAATGGGAATCGTCCAATATAACCCGCAGTCTCGAGCCGTAGCGTGGAATCAAGCGAGATTTCGCGTGGTTTGGAAGGAAGTGGGGTCGCAAGTAACGGAATCAGAAAAATAATTTCAGTATTTTGATATTGAATTCCATTCATTTCCTTCGTAATATTTTCTGACCAATTTATATGAAGAGTGTGTTAAACTTACACGTAGACTAGTCCAGATCCGGCAATTGCACCGATGCATTGAGCTACCACGTATAATATTGCTGAAATGGAATGAAAAATTACTGCATGTGAGTTGGTCAACGCCAGAGAGAGAGAGAGAGAGAGAGAGAGAGAGAGAGTACATTTACCTGGAGTACATTTAATCAAATCTGTTAAACGAACAGAACCAATGTCCAACTGAAAGTAGAGGCATTTATACATGTACATACTCGTAACGCTTCCTGTTATTATTTATTTATTCAATTATTTTATTGGTTTATTTATGTATTGCTATTTTTTGACAGGCCAATGTAATGGGAGGTCGTTAGTGTACCTGCATCACTATATGTCCTAATACAAACAGGCTGAAAAGAGCGGGCAATGAAATTAAGTGGAAAAAGATTCACAGAATTAGGATTAAAAATTGATGACTCGGTTAGTTATCTTCGGATTTAGAGTCTTCATAGTAATTTTTTCCATTATACATGTAGGAAATAATTTCCAATATATGTACACCCATATATGTTGTGCATGAACAAGATCAATGCAACATTTTTGCTTTTTAATATTTAAATAAGGCAGACTTTTTTCCTTAAGTGTTAGTACTTACTATGAACGCATTGACTCTCTACTGAATCGTCCACGAAAAAAAAGTGTACATTGTTGTTACATGTAAGAGTATGGAATACTTTGAAACTGGACACAATATTTTTCTCTATTCTGCTGCGACAGGTCTCACATAACCATTGCTATACTTCATTTTAGCAAAGACAATCTTCAGTTAGTAGAAGTGGGACAAATTATACTTAATTGATTACACATTAGGCAGGTGCGGCTCTACTCTCTATGACGTACTTCATGAAAAGAACGTGGGGCTAAAATTTAAATGTACATAAATGTTTTTCATTTGCTAATTGAATTTTGCCCAGCAAATTATAATGGTGGCTTCATACATTCTTTTAATTCATATCTTAAGTGTGAACTGGTTGAATAATGCGTTTTTTATGTTTACCACTGTGCATTGAAATACTCCATGCTCTTTAACTTAATTTTTCTTTCGTTTGCAGAAGGCCAGTTCTAATTATCACAGCCACTAACTGTTGATAATGCTGTGAATAGCTTAATTAATTAATCTTATAGCATAACATGCATTAACGCATGTGTAATTTAGCATACTACATATGTAAACATATATAAATGTATATCCTTATATATTGTGTAAATAATGTAGTCTAGTGAAACTTGCAAATGTATTCATATCATTTAGTGCTCAATAAACTTATTATTAATTAGCAATGTGTTCTGACACTGGTTGTAGAATAATGTAAGAGCATACAACGCACGTAACAGACCACATGGAAGTAAAGGTTAAATAAATGGAAGACATAAAAATGGAAATAATTTCACTCTCTTCAGGTTGAGCTGTAGCTGATGACTTCATACAGACTGTACTAGAACGTGTCTTCTCATGTAAAAGTTATATAATGTTGTATGATTTCATATCTTAATTCAAAGCATAAACCTTATGATTCGCAATACATTTTGTAAAATATTCGACAGCACAGTACAACAGAGATTGTGACTTTCGCATAAGTGTATTAGTGACTTGCGAGTAAAAGAAAAGAAATAAATAATAATAAACAGAATGAGAGCAGGAACATATGTAATGGGTGCATAACTTACCTCTCAAAAGTGATATTTTCTGAGCTAAAAACATGGCTATAGCCACCGCCGGATTCATCTGGGCCCCGGAAATATGTCCAACGGATTCTGCCAAGCACATAACGACAAAACCCATTCCCAAAGCAATCTGAACCGTAGTACCAGAGTCGTTATTTCCCGGCCATTTCAAAGGTGTGGAACACTGGACTATCATAAGTATTGCAGTGGCCAAAATCTCCGCAGAAACCGCCTTCCAGAATGCCACGGTCTTAATTTCGTGGTGACCGATTTGAAAGGAATGATCAGCCATTGTTCGATTTTTAACGCTTAACTTCGATCTGGATACTAAAAGCGATCCGTGCTGGTCAAAATGACCTGTCCAGTTTGCAAGTTCATTGGCTGAAGTGGTCATGCCCGGATTAAATTGAAACAATAGGCACTGGCTCTCAGATAACGCCTCTATCTGCAGTACACGCTGATGCTTATGTTGAGAAACTGAACGGGGTAGTTAACCACAGAATCGTGTTTACAGTGTTGATGATATGAATGTTGATCAGAAAAGAAGTTCGTCACAACTTTGAATGGGAGGGCAAGTGTGGGAGGGCACTTAGTGTAGGAGGGCAAGTATGGGACCATTCAGCATGAGAAGAGTCGAGTACTAGCTGGTCCACAGCCTCAATATGACGGACCTACATGAAAGGGAGACCGCTTAATCCTGTAATGGTCTCTCCGCCCCTCACATGCCTCCCGACGCGTTGTCCCTCGACCGGTCGAATTGAGACGAGATTTAATTACTGTGCCCCTGCAGGGACGACGAGGAGGCGTGAAAGAGGCGGAGAGACCATTACAGGATTAAGCGGTCTTCCTTTCGTTTAGGTCCGCCATATTTAGGCTGTGAACCAGCTAGCACTCGGCTCTTCTCATTCTGAATGGTCCATATTTTACTCCTGGATTGAAACTTTTCCACTAGATTGCCTCATTCTAGTCAGACAGAAGTGAACAAATAATTCAGCACTAGCTATTGTTGAAGAAAAATTACTGCTTTATTCTTATATGTATGATACAATCATTTTATCAAAGTTAAGAAAAAAGAACAGTAAAAAATTAGCTAATTTTATCAGTTTTTAATGTGCATCCTTTTTTTTCGTATCCAAAAAACGGGTCGCTTTTTATTCTTACTATTTTTTACCTGAGATGCTTTTAATAATTCCAGTACATGCTTGTAAAAAGTGAAAATATGTGTGGGTTTAAAAGAAGGGAATGGAGAACACTAATGGAATAATCTCAAACGATGCAGCAAACGAAGAAGGGGGAGGGGGTAAAACAGAAGATAAAAGTCATTGATGAAAGCCTCCCTTTAGTTCCCTTTGTAGATGATATCGCCTTGAGCACTTCATATTAAGGGTTTCATAACTGCACTTTTGGTATTAGAAATATAAGTGAATATTTGATATTCTGAAGTACAGAAAATCCAAGTTTCCTATGGTGTGGTCTTATGACATCATTTATGCTTGCCAACAATGAGAGTATTTGAAAAACAAATTCAATAATTAAAATCCTAACAATACAAACATCGCAATAAATTTCTATTAAATCTTTCTCATTATGAGAAATAATGCTTAAAATTTTACTCCTGATTGGGTGGAATTACAGCTGTAGAAGATAATTTAGCTATCCAATTGTTTAACCAAAGAATGCGTCTCGCCTCCTCTGGGAAATCGCATCTATCACAATTGAAAATGCGCTGTGCTGTCCGATGTTTCCAGTGTAAACGTGGATTCGCTTGTAACTCGTGCTGGCATCAGCCCGCTGTTCAGTGTACCGCAGTACCTTCCGCAAACCCTTTCTATAACTGTTGGGTCAGGTAAAGTTTCTGAAAGAAAATGAATATAAAAACCAGTTTTTCTGGCATTTTGGGTGGCATTTGGACCCAAATCTTTATCTTTTTTTCTCAATTTAAAGGAATGAAAAATTAATTCTTTCGGATAATTTAGAGAAAAAAAATTACCTGCATATTTCTTTTCTTCTTCAAGTTCCTTTTCCTTCTTGGTGCAGTGTAGGACGAAGCCGAAGTTATAAGCCAGTGTAGCCAGGATGGCACCTGAGATAGGCCCAGCCCAATACACCTGTAGAAAATACATATGAAATGTACTTATAGAGAAATGATTGAATAGATAAAATAATTAAATAAATAAAATAATTAAATAAATAAAATAATTAAATAGATAGATAGAGAGAGAGAGAGAGAGAGAGAGATGACAGACAGACAGATAGATAGATAGATAGATAGATAAATAAAATGTGCAGTATGTATAGAAACACTCACCCAGTGGTCAGTCCATATGTTAACGTAGACAGCAGGTCCCAGTGACCGGGCTGGGTTCATACTGGCCCCAGTGTGGTTGATCTGAAATAATAAGAAAATGAATTTATAAGTCTTCGTGAATGTTTTGTTATTCGTCGTTTACATTTAAATTTAATAATAATCAGGCCCATTGCCAAAGGGTGGGGGTGGGGGTGGGGGGGGTGGGGGGTGGGGTGGGGGGTTCGGAAGAGTCCCCCTTTTGCTGGGAAAAAGGTCTCCTCTGGGAAAATTTTCACCTAGGTGCACAAAGGTTTCATGACGAAAGGTCCACTTTTTCAGAAAAAGAAACCCCACCTTTTGAAATTGCTGGCTACGGCCCTGATGATAATAATAATAATAATAATAATAATAATAATAATAATAATAATAATAATAATAATAATAAAATTATTCAGAGAATAAAACCCATAAAATATGTTCTGAAGACTTAACAAGATACTTAACAAGATACTTACCCCCGTACAAATGTTCATGGCCACTGCCATGCCTATGACCAGACTGGGCATCGTGATCTTCTTTCTGCTGTCCGTGGCCCCAAAAATGACAAAGACGAGCATGAAGGTCAGGTACATTTCGACCACCATCCCCTGTGCTGGGGTCATATCGCGGTTTACGGTAGTTGTGGCTAAACCGCCCGTGGCGTTAGCTGGCGTTATACTGAAAAATGAAAGTTAAGAAAGAGAAATTTAAAAGAGAGAAATAAAAGCATCGTTTATAATATCACAAATTTACGACCAATACGTGCCATGAAATTTCTTGACCGTTTGACACTGATAATGGAATTTTATATTTATGTGATCACGATGGTCAGTGTATATATATTAAAATGAAAATTATTCTAGACACCTCTAAGCGACATTTCACATATGGATAAATACCATAATATTATATATTTACCATTCTTTGCCGATATTTTTGATAAGTTTATATGTCAAAACATTTAAGGGTTCAAGAATCTATAGTACATGAAGTAACTACTGTCCACAGCAAAGTAATGTGTATTGTTTAATATGAATAATACTTTCCGTATCCTCCTCGTTTTTTTGATAAGAATTTTACTTACATATAGATAAGTCCAGACCCGAGGAAGGCCCCTGAACACTGTGCAATGATGTAAAATATTGCTGAAAAGAAAAAGCAGACCTCTTAAAAACAGCAGAGAAAAAAAAAAGAAAATTAAGAATAAGAAGGTAAGAAGGAGTAGACAAAAATAAGATTCTTTGAAAAAATGAAAATCAATAGCCCGACATCTGGATCAAGCGTAGGGTTGTGAAATACAGAAGAAAAATATTACCTTTTGAGAATTGACATAATACAGTATGGCATATACATGTAATACTCCAATATGACTTTATACGTACACTTCGACGAATCTCCATCCCTTGTGTCTATACATAAAAAGAGATGTAATGTGATCGTGGCAATACACGCTTTATTTAGTTGCAGGGATGTTTTTCTGTGCAATGCGAGTATTTTATCCCAGTATGTATGTCAAATAATACACTGTCACCCTCTCGCGACAAACAATGTATGCCTCTCTCGCTGACACATAGGTTTTTCAGGCATATATCGCTCGGCCGACAGTGTTTTATATCATTAGTTTAAATTTCTATGAATGGCCGTAAATGGAATAAGAAATATACCCATTTTTATTGTTGTGTTTTATAACTTAACAATGGCTTTTACGTAGACCAAGGAGCTGTATCATACATCTTGCTTAGACTACAACCGTACCTACCTTTCAATAATGAAATTTTCCGAGCAATCAACATCGCTATCGATACTGATGGATTCATCTGCGCCCCGGAAATATGACCAAAAGCCTCTATCATACACATCACGACGAACCCCATCCCCAAAGCAATCTGAACCGTGGTCCCCGAGTCGTTATTTCCCGGCCATTTCAAAGGCACAGAACACTGGACTATCATCATTATCGCCGTAGAAAGCACCTCCGCCGTCACCGATTTCCAAAACTTCACCGTTTTCACTTCGTCAGTTCCGACAAACTTTTGAACGTCGCTCGCCATTTTACCTAGATGACAAAAACAGCAGACATATAAACAAGTGTTCTTACGTTGCACGAGTCATCCCGCTGAGGTATATAAATATATCAGTTCTAGAAGAGTGAACGTTTAGTAAAAGAATGTGACCTGGATTATTCCCGAACGAGTCGCACGCTACGGATTATGTAAAAAAGTATGTCAGTCATGACTGAATATCTTTAAAAAACTGAAAAGAGGAAAACTGAAAATTGATATCAAAACTTACAGATTCATAACTGCAATCATTATGTGTACCGCTTAACAATATACGTCCAAAAATTAACTATTAATATTGGGTCTATGTGGCTGGGAGTTTCATATCCCTGTATTTTTATCAGACCCTGGAACTCATCAACGTTATGTCCTTAAAACTTTATATTTCATGGCACCATTAAAACTTACATAAGTTATTGATTTACCTATTATGTATAATAACCTTTTAATATGCTGATCGTATGAAGGTTACAAGAGAAGCTAGCTATCTTACTGTACACACCTGTGCTATATAACCCACCTGTCACATACAACTTCCGTATGAAATATACTTACGGCCAAGCATTCCGAAAACATGCGTGCGCCGCCTGATTATTATTGTGAATTCTACTAGTGACGACCTCAATATTTAGATCGAAAGCCTCAACGTGGTTACTGGTGCGTACCAAAATTATGTGCCCCTATTTTTTCAACAGCATGTAGTCTCAGTTAAGATGAAAACAAAGATCACAATATTTGTAGGTCTAAATCTGAGCTTGGATCATAATCTCCTAATTCTGAAATTCACTAATATTCATCTTGATATGATTTCCCAATATCTATTTTCTCCAAATGTCCAAGTTATGAGAAAATTGGATTTATTTGTTAAGATTTTTTTAAAAAAGGTCTCCAGTTATTCGCAAATGTCGTTTACTATTAACGCGCTACAAACTTATTTTTACGCCCTCTTTTTTACCTGTATGAGTTCAGTAGTTGACGCTTCTTTATATGCCTATGTTTGTTTGAGTATACAAGGGTAATACCAAACTGTATAGACTTATATACAGTGCCACTTTAGCTTTTGTTGTTAGGGTGCTTGTTTATTCTCTATAAACACAGCGTAGACTTTTTGAGTCGAAAATCACAAAGGTCTACATATTTTACAGGGTACCCCGACACAAGATATCCTCTGGTTTGATGACTAAACTTGCCATTCTGATAAAAAATAAGAGCATATAGATTATAGAACATTTCTCAGAAAAGAACGGCTACATTATATTGTATCAAGGGTGGGGCGGTAGGTGGCGATTAAATGCACATGTATCTCGTAAGTTTATTGAGCAATTTGGCAAATGAGAGCTTACTTATCTAAAGACTCAAGACTCAAGTAGAAATTACGAGGAAACATTACATAGGCATACGAGACTGTGAATGGTCAACCATCAAGTAAAATATCAGTCCCTTAGTCACTTAACTACCAAAACAGTGAATGGCAAATCCCCATAACTGCGGAATATAAGGTTCACGACTGGGCGACATCGATTATCTTAATACGACGGCCATATTTTGGCTAAAAATTAATGATGGATTAAAGTTAAACAAGCCATTTCGGTCCCATACACTTCCCATGTAGGCCTACACTATTGTAGCAGTCATTTAGCGAGAGTCTCGATAACCGACGCATCCTCTGCTTGATAATCGCTTTCAAAATTCAATTTGATTGTAGCAACAGAAAGACTTACCAAATGATTTGAGCGTGGCTGCCTATACATGTATGTACTGTTTTCCGTGTCTTCGTCCCTGTAAGTGCTGCAACACGACTTCGCTTTGAAAAAACTGACGAACAAAGACGTCTGGACAAACTTGTTGAACAAAAGGTTGCCATTGTATGTTCAGTACTTTTAAATAACTTCAGGTCGGGTATTTTGATATAGCATATAAAACGTATCGGGGGCGGGGGGGGGGGGTTGTTTCTGCTCTATCCATATCACTGGTAAAACATGAGTGCTTAACTTTTTTTTTTCAAATGATCAAGTTTTTGAGAATATCAAAGTTCGTCGTACACCAACGCGAAGTAATTGTTTGCCTCTTCCCGTTACCCTCTCCTTTTCTTTCTTTGTTTTTACACGTGGACTGCAAAGCTGAAGTTGATGATGAATGACGGGTAGGCACTACACTGTAAGGGCACTTCCCATGCTTTTGGATATAACAGAATGCGTTGAAATATACAAGGGAGGGATTTTGCCATTTTTAATGAGATTATAGACTTGAAAGGTTTGTCGCGGAAATAAAGTATGATGTTTTGGTGTAGGACCATTTGTGCCATCATAAAATATGCACTATCACTCGCTATTATAGTAAAAACAAACATGAGGTAATATATTCTTAATATTCTTTATTTATGATAATAAAATAATCCACTACCAAGTCCGCAAAGTACATGTAAATGTGCCCATTGCAGGGGCGTAACCAGGCATACGCACGTTGCACTGTGCGTACAATTTTTTGAGCCAACCATGATATTATTCTCCATAAATTCAGTGTATTTTTCACGGAATATAATCGTACCTGGGAATTTTCAAAATCTGTGCGTACAATTTTAAAGGATCTGGTTACGCCCCTGCATTGTGTTTGTTGCGACTGGATGCAGATACTTCTATGTGAAGATTTCAATTCAGTTCTGTACGCGAGAGCATGACAGTTGAAATAGCTCCAAGGAAATTAGCACCTTCAAATAAATTTTAGAAACAATGATAAATTTATGTGTTCTATACAATATTTGTAGATGATGAGCCGGATGTTTTCGTAGCCTTCCCATCAATTGTTCCCATGTATTTAATCTGCAAAACGGAAAAATCAGTGTTTCATAGATATACTTTTTCAAGATATGTATGTACGTAAGATGAACGTAGACCAATTTCGTTCAATATTCTGAGCCAAAATTGAATAAATAAACAAACTAATTTGTATGATTGAAATCAATAGAGACACAAATATACATGTAAGTTTTTTTAATAAACAAATTCTCCGTGTAATCCAAATAAACCTCTTGGAAGGTGTGCAAAATCGTATTCAATGGACAAAAGAGTGTAAATCATGCTCTTGAAAATATCCGCCAAAGGCCAAATAGAATTGTCTATTTCCTCCCCCTGATGGTGTGATATCCATTATTCAGGTCAGTGATCGCTAACGTAGGTCAGGGACACGTGTTGGGGGGGGGGGGGGGTGACTTTGTCACATGATAGATAGCAGACGACAAATGTTATCTCGATGAAGAGATGAACTGATATATGTACCTTTCGGTGCACATTCTGTTTTGGTCATGCCACATTATCTATTGTTTCGTCAACGTAAAGCGGAATAAAAACTGGACCCTCCCCCCTCCATCCCTAAGGAAAGGTTTTCTATCACAAGTGCTCCCTTTTTTTAAAAGTCACAACACAAGCTTAACAGTGCATAAAAACTTTCATACCATTATCTCGATACCTATTTGTTATTGTATACTTTTCAATAAAAAGGTTAAATATCTTTATCTAAACAACATTTTCATCATGTAGCAATAGGGCCGATGGTAGGTCTACAATTTATTTCCTGTTATTAATACGCTTATCACTGAACCAGAACTGATATTCCAAATATTCATGTTATGTCACTTATCAAAACCTGTAATTTCACCGAAAGCGTTTTTCTTTCTTTTTTTTCTTTTCCTTTTTATTTTTTTTTATTTTTTATTTTTTGCTTTAAAAAAGCTTTTTCTAGTCGTTTGTATGTACGAGTAAATAAAAGAAAAACAACACCTTCGTGAGCAAATTCTCTCTCTCTCTCTCTCTCTCTCTCTCTCTCTCTCATTCGTTTAATTCGTCATCTGATTTGCCGAAAATGTCTATGCGCGTAAGCCCCTGTTATTGATGCATTGATAATTACTATCACCATTTGTTATCATAGCAAACCTAAGTGCAACAATTGTACTGCTATATCAGATTAATTGTTTGTTTATGTGACATCAGCTGGCTTAGTATCATTCTTCGAATAAATTGGGCTTACAACTACTACTGTTTATTTTTCGAAACAGTTCAACCTCTTCGCGTCCGTGATCACGTGCGTGCGACAATCAAACCGCTGATCAACGATGTCATAAATGATGTCAGCCGTGACTGCTGCGTCAGAGCGTTACGTTCTTAGAACGCGTTCACATTAGGCTAACATGGATCGATCTAAAGACGCAGATCCTTCTTTCTGATAGCAAGGGTCTCTATAATAGAGCATCGACGATACAATCATTTTGTAACAGACTACCAGCGCACCCATGGTCAGAGAGAACAAAGTTCCTAAGCCTTCTATGCTATGTTGATGGCTACACTGTACCCGTCACAAAGTAGGCTTACTTGTCGCATAGGGATATGAACCGCCTCATATTGTTGTATCAGTGCGGTACGGTGTCGTTAAGATCGATCTCTGGGATCTACCAGATTCTAGTCGAGTCGCGCCCTTCAATTAACTAACTGGATGGGTGATAGTATGGCAGATTTATGATATGCGTATTCCTGTACATAAGGCTAGGTTAACGACCATATCGTATACGATGAGACACATTGCGACAGATACCGCAGCCGCGGCCTTCGGTTAAACCTGGCTAAGATTCCCCCTACAGTCGCTTAAGTCTGAAAAAACAACAGAAAAAGGAGCAACTCAGTTATAACAAAAAACTCACGAGTTCATCGTCCAGGTGAAAGTTACATGAGCGCGTTATAGGCATTTCTCATTTTCTTTAAGTCACGCGCATAGTGAGTAATCTAATTTGGCGTGTGTCCTTACACTAGCCTGCCAGAAAACTTTAGACTTATAATCACTAACCGAGTCGAGTGGGTTTGAGATGTCCAGGTCGCCATACGTTTATAAATTACTTCCGGGAGAGAGCTGCAATCCAGTGAACTCTTTAAAGTCGGAGAAGATGGGAACCCCTTCTTGGAAAGTTTGGGTCGGTCTCCAGGAAGCGAAGACTGCCAAATTCTGGAAAGCGGTTTCGTCGGAGCTCATAGCAACTGCGATACTGATGATAGTCCAGTGTTCTGTGCCTTTAAAATGGCCGGGAAATAACGACTCGGGGACCACGGTTCAGATCGCTTTGGGAATGGGTTTTGTTGTGATGTGTCTCATAGAGGGCTTCGGACATTTTTCGGGGGCCCAAGTAAATCCTACAGTGACGCTGGCCATGTTTGTGGCACGGAAACTTTCCATAGTGAAAGGTATAGCTCGATTTTTTATTTGCATTCAACATATTAAACACACGACTCACCGACAACTGTGATTCACACACACACACACACACACACAAGAAAGGAAATAGTGACCCTGGCAAAAATACCCTGCAGAAAAAGCCTTTAAAAACTAAAATACTGGGATAGTCTGTAGTAAAATATGTACATAACAAGAGAAAATATGCAAGCAAACTTAATTTTGAGTTGAATTGTAAGTATTATTATTATTATTATTATTATTATTATTATTATTATTATATTTCAGCTATTCTTTTCATTCTGGCACAATGCATGGGATCATTACTTGGCTCAGGTCTGGTTTACGTGTAAGATAAAATCTTATAAATTATGTAGAATACAAATAGCCAGGCCTGTGTGTGCGTGCACAGGCGATTTAAGAGTAGTATTGAAAATTCATGTAATTTCCCTTAACGTTTTTAGAAAATTAAAACGAATATAAGATCAGAAGAAGGGAGAATGAAAAGGGACTTAAATTGGTGTTACCACTCTACTTCTTCGCTTCCTCTTAAAAATAACATACACAATTTAAAGTAAATTGATAAACTGAAAATTAATGATAATTTATGAATTAAATGATAATCCGGAATCTTTCAAATCTTTAAATCCCACTATTCTGAACAGTGTCACTCCTGCCAACGCAACTGGGACTTTTGCCACGACCGTCGTTAATCCCCTGATGACTCCCGCCCAGGGTATGGTGGTAGAGATGTACCTGAGCTTCATGCTCGTCTTCGTCATCTTTGGCGCCACGGACAGCGTGAAGAAGATCACGATGCCGAGTTTGGTCATTGGACTTGCTGTGGCGATGAATATCTGTACTGGAGTAAGCCCCTCGCTTTTTCTTTTGTGTCCTTGATTCTCGTGAAGAGGATCGTAGTCTCTCTCTCTCTCTCTCTCTCCATACAGCGGGTTATAGGTTAAAGGCATCGAATAACCATGTATTGGAAAGATGGTTGGGATAAGATGATATATTTAAAACCACAGTTTCCAGGACTGTTGCCATAAGACGTTTGACATTCCAAGGACTTTGACGACTTCTTTTAATTCTGGAATGCTGTTTTCCTTACCCTCTATGCGGCAAAATATCAAGATCCCAGTTTCTGTTTATATAAAAAAAAATTGTTTCCTTTTCCCTAATCTATATTTTTCTTCTTAGTCAACTTTTATTCAACCGTGCGTGTAACTCACTCAATGTGCTTGTCAATCCTCAAATCCCTCGCCACCCAAGACTAAATTCCTCAAATTATATATATGATTTTCAGTAATTAAAACAGAAATAAAATCTAAAATAGTCTTAGGGTAAGCATTTCTTCTCTCAGTCTCGCCTGAAGGCACTACCATGCACTTGTTCACGTCCCGTAACATTGTCCACATGATTCATCTTTTCACATGACTTCACTTCCACAGATCTGTCCGTGATAACTTTAGAAAGGTCGTGACTTTCGAGGCAGCTGTCGGGAGACAAGGTGAGTAGATCACAATCTTTTTAACAGGTTCATTTTTGTACTATTTCCAGATAAATCACACTGGTGCTAGTATGAACCCCGCCCGCTCCCTGGGGCCTGCTGTTTATGTCAATATATGGGAAAACCATTGGGTAAGACTTCCCCTCCGGCCACAGGTGTCCCTGTAGTCTGGTACAAAATCGAATAATTTTTTAACTTTTGTAACAGACTACAGAGATCGTTGTGAACGGAGGGTAGGGTAAGGATGCATTCAGAACATGTTGGTCCGCGGACTAACAGATCCGCGTATCAAATATGGCCGACCCACTTGAAAGCGCGCTGCATAATCCCCTAACAGACACCGAATAGAATTACGCAGTAAGCTTTCAAGCGAGTCGTCCTTATTTAATCCGCGAATCTGTTAGTCCTGTCGTCCGCTGTGAACTTAATACGCCTGCATCATCCGCTAGCCACTGTCTATCGAGACTTTTCCCGATTACCATTCGTCTGTACCGTTTCCCAATTAATTCCAAGCTTTATTTCATCATTCACAAATTAATCTTCCTTAATTGACCGGAATTAAAAGTATGCGAAGAAAAAATCTGGAACTGCTCAAACAAGACGTGGAGCTAGTGGCTATGTATGTGTGACCTATCTGTGCTAGTCTATAGTCAGGGAATTTGTTACTATTTTCTTCCATTGTGTAACGGTGTAACAGTATAACTGTCAGGCGATTCTTATATACAGACATATGCTAAAAATTGTCAGTGTACGACCATTCACCTGAAAACCACTGGAATAACACTTCATGCGGATGTATATTCAGTCAGGGAATTATATCGGATATAATTCCCTGATTCAATCAACAACATCAAAATGAACCCCTATAAAGATTTTGTCGACATCACGATTGGCGAATTTAAGGCCAATTTCCTTCAGGATTCATAAATTCGAATAAATAGCGATGATACAGTGTGTAAATTACATTACTATTTTTGTATTAATCGTAACTGAGAAGTACATATATGTATTGTTTGATTTTTATTGGTATTAATTGCAGGTTTATTGGTTAGGCCCGATCTCTGGGGGCATCCTTGCTGCTGTAACATATCACTACGGCTTTAAATTAAACACTCGAAATAAGAATAAACAAAAGAAAGTAAAGGGATTAAGAGATGAGGTAAGTGCTATAAAATTATTCTAAAGCGTGTATTCGCTTCTAATTTTTTTACAAATAGATGTGTGTGTGTGTGTGTGTGTGTGTGTGTGTGTGTGAGAGAGAGAGAGAGAGAGAGAGAGAGAGAGAGAGAGAGAGAGGGAGGCGATTCTGTTGCGCCGATGTTGGCAGTTTAATGTCAATAAATAAAGAAAAAAAGAAAGAAAGAAAGGAAGAAATAGCAGTACACGATGTCATTCAATACATCAAAGTCGATTGCATTTCCAGATAAAAGGGCCGTTATTGGACTCGCCGGACGTGATTGTGTCAGAATCTGAAGGAGCAAGTAATGAGAAGACAAACTGAAGTCTCCGGTCTGAGGACACAATGAGATTATACCAGAAATGAAATGGCGGCCAAGGACATGTGAAGAGCCTTATTTTATTTTTATTATTATTTTTTTTTGGTGGGTGGTGGGGGGGGGGGGGTATACATTTCATGAACAGTAGACCGAAAGTCGGTCTCAACCTTTCGTGCTGTGATAACACTGGGCAGTAGTACTACGTTTGACACTGTACATGGCACGTTGGGCGTTAAACTCGACATGCGCCGTCACATTTGTACACTTTCTACTTAAAAAAGTGCGATGTGGGAGGTTGCTGCGCCATTGCCGTCTTTCACAGAATTTTCTCCAGACGTCCTGCAAGACGAGAAATGCTTGCAACTGACAACATTACACCAAGCACGTGCTCTTCGTTGGTTGCTTCAGACAAAACTGACTTAAATTTAAAGTTTAAAAAACCTACAAAATACCGAGAACTATCGGTATGAATAAGCTTCTAAGAAGATGATTGTAGTAGAATTCTTGGAATCTCATTCCCAGGGCTGCGTTCTGAACCAGAAATGTCACTAATCTTAGTGACTTCACCAGACAGCCACATAACATAGAAACCCCAATCTCGGCTGATATATCAGCCCTTTGAATGGATAACCTGTTTGTCTGCTGGCGTCATCCATACTATTAACGATTTCAGTATGTTCTTGTCCTTGGGCCGTATTCTCGAATGGTTGTACATGTAACTTTCGTATTTTTTATAACTTTTCACGGAAATACTTTCAAATTGTTATAAGTTACGAAGTTTTGAGAGTAGGGTCCGCGAACTAGAATAAAAGCAACATACACATTGTGTACAATATAACAAAAAGGGGATACATTTTTCTTCATTAATTTTCAATAATGATGTCCCTTTTTGTATTTTATTCAATTATTTTATATACAACATCCCAAGATCTCTATACACGCACCATTTTCTGTCTTGATGCAAAAAAAGTCAATAAAATATTTTGAATACATAAGAACTCAAATTCCTTGTGAATACAAATGACCTCTTATTTTTTCACAAAAATACCAACAAACCAAAATCGGCCATACCCATTTGATCTCTGTACAAATATCACACCAATTTAAAGGCAGATACATAAAAATTGACATTTAAATAAGCACTTCTCAGTTTCAACCAAAAGACAAATGTCCCTTTGACGTACAACAAAATATAAAACCGACTTAACCATAAAAAGGACGTCAGCCAAATTGTGGTAACGGTAGTATAAATAACCTAATACCTATTTTTAAAAAACCCTTACTGAGGTAAGATTCTACAGAAAACTACTAGAATTAATCAGATGATATGTTGGGGGTGGGGGTGGGGGGGGTGTCTTCTTAGATCCATAGGACTAAGGCTTCGTTCACATGGAAAGTCTATTTTCTAAAAATCAATTTTCTATTCGCGGTATCTTATGATCACGGTCTGTGCCCTGAATAACCCGCGGCGTAAATACTGGCGGCGCGAGCCAGTTACTTCCAAAGCTGTAATTAATTCTCGGGATATTCAGGGCACAGGGACCGTGATTACAAGATACCGCGAATAGAAAATAGATTTTTTAGAAAATAGACTTTCCATGTGAACGGAGTCTAAGTCCAAATGGAAACCAACTGCTTTTTACATGTTTGAAGAGTACAGTTTTGTCACATATTCTTACATTTTTATCACATATAAAATCGCCTTTATTATTAAATCTGGCTTTCCGGTTTCTGCTCTGCCTTTGAGGATTTAAACAGTTACCTTCATCAAAAGTTTGACATCACTCAAAATAAGCAATCACAATTCTTTTCCGTATCTTATAGATAATAGTCAAGCCGGTGTAACATTCAAGTTTCTCCCTGTCAAACTTGCCAGTTTAAATTCTAGGCTAAAACCTCTAAAACCTCTGACCAGTCTCTCAGGGCAATGGGGATTTAATAGCATTTTTTTTTGTTTTAAAAAACTACAATAATAGAAATGATGGAATTAATAGCACTAAATACCAGCGAGTGACTATATTCCTAGTAAAGAGTCACTCACACTCAATTTTATAAAAGTTCACAGCCATAAGGGTGAATATTCCAATTTCTATCAGGTCTGAAGAAATGTGTGGTATACAATTAAAACAAAGTTAATCAACACTGTACAATATTAAAGTTTTTCATAGGAGATCATTTTCATCAATTAAAAAAAGTTATTTCTTCGATAAAAAAATAAACAACAAATAAAAAACACAACAGTCTTCCCTTCTTTGGCAATTTACAAAATTAAAAAAAAATTTTCCATCAGGTTCTCCCATGGTCTTGACTGAACATTTTACCAATTTCTTCATTATCTGTATTTTTTTTGTGCAAAAATCCTCTCATAAGCCCTGATTAACATCTGGTCTGGATGTTAAGAGGTATTCTATCCTCATCCTCCTCCCTAAATAAAAAATAAAATGAATCAAAAATATTTTTTAAAAAGCTGACATTTATGTGACTGGCCTCCTTTGGTTAGATATGGCCATTATTATCAGCAGTGTGCTCAGATATGATTTAGGATTGCTAGAAAAAAAGTAGAATGAAATGGGAATGTGGCCTTACAACAAATTTCTGATTTAAATTTTTAAAAAATCATGTGGGTGTGCTGATAGAAAATACATACATTAAGCTGTCACAAATTGAATGAAAATGAAGTCTTAAATATCTACCAGTATGTCAATGGTCTTTTACAAAATTTCCTTTCAGTAAACTTTACCTTATTCAGATTTATTCCTATGTCATCAAACCTCTTCATACCACCGTCAGAATCAAAGTGTCTTGCATGCTATTTTTAAAATAAAAAGACTGTGTTCAGCACCATTCTGACTGGAGCCATTTTCAAACTTTCTTTAGAAAGTCAAAAGTTTGATTGTAATTAAACACTTAGTCATGCTGGGAGTCAGTATTCTCCTTCAGTGAACCCAATGACTTCTAAGGTGGACTTAACCTAGGACTCAATAATTTCAAATTTATAGTTAAATCAAACCAAGCTATTTTGTAGTCTATCAAACATTTTATCTGAACTTAGCCCACAACTCACCGATTCTTTCACTTCCCTTGTATTAGCTTCCCTTCGATCAGCTTTAATCTGGAACAGATAAGAAATCACTATGACTAAAAATTGGCATTTGCAAGTATCAAAATTATTGATTATAACAATTTAGATTACAAAAAAATACCTTTATTTTTAATAAATAGCTTTTTTTTAGTAGAATTGCAACCAATGAAATAGCATTCTTGGATCTATTAATAAACACAACAAAATCTAAAATCTAGAATGAAAATAAAAATATTAAATAATTATCTTAGAATGCCAATATATTTAAATCATGATATCTACCTGTTCACTAATTCTTTTCCTTTCTTCTTTTTCTCTTTTCAACTGAGCCTGTTGTCTTTTTCTTTCAGCAGCAATTTGCTTTTCTTTTTCACTAAGCTGTGATGATTAAGCAACAAAAATTTTAATTTTATGAATATGAAAACACACTTTTTTGGTACAAATTTTAAAGGGGGGATCTTTTCTGAAACTTTAACCATGAAACCTTTGTGTACCTAGATCAAATTTTACCCATGGTGACTTTTTCCTTGCAAAGAAGGGGTTCATACAAAACCCCAACCATCATCCTGCCTATGGGTCTGCACAATTACTTCCATTTTCTATTTTTTTTCACTTCACTTCCCCCCCNGGGACCCATTGGGAATTTTCGTTTCACGGGAAAACCACGTTTTATTTCCCGAGATGCGTGAAACGTTCATATTATTTGGCATGATCTGTGAAGTACCCCATTCCCGTGACTTGTGAATGCCGCTTTTTCTTCTTCGCCTTTTTTTTTCTTCCCCAAGTCATTATACCCGGTGATTCGCGATTTTCAGGATTTTCGACTCTCATTATCAGTGAGACATGTAAAAAGTTTAATTTACTGTGATTTGAGAATTGGTGATTTTATTTCCCGTGAACTGTGATCACTACCACCCCAATGGGACCCTCGTCGAAATTCAGCGATGAAATGCTGCGTATTTCAAACGAATGAGATAAGTTTGATAGATCAAAAAGTTTGAAAACAGGTGCGAACCCCCCCCCCCCCCCCACACACACACACACACACACACACACACAAGCATCAGCAGGGGCGGATCCAGACATTTTTTCTGACAGGCTTCCAAAGATAAACATACCAGATAAATGTAATAAGGCAAACATACAAGATAAATACAATGTAATATTTATGACCAGGGGGGGTTTGAGAGTGATGAGGGAGGTTTACCTCTCTGTCTGACCAGCCAGACTGTGGTTTGCTTGCCTGAATAGGTGATGCCAATGGTTTGTTTTTACTCTCAATGGGTTCAGCCGACTGCTCTGTGTACTGTCTAATGAAGTAGCAAGAAAACATGCTTCATGTAGTATCTTTTTACTGGGGGCACTTCATTTCAAAGCAAACAATGTTGTAATACTTGTCTGGAAATGTTTATTCAAGGCATATATGTTTAAGAAATATACAGTATTACTATTAGTATATTCTAATAGTGTTGTTTGAAACCATTTATATGGAAGCAGATGCAAACTTACAGAATTTTTGCTTCAAGAAGTTGAATGGCACATTTTAACCTCTCAGAATCTGTCAACACTACAGCATCATCTGCCTGAAGAAAAAAAAAAGCAACCTCATACAAATCATGGCCATGACATTTAATTTTCAGGTTAATAATAATGATAAATGTGCAAAAGCGATGCAGTATATTAGACTGTTTAAGTGTTACTTTGAACATAACAAGTAAGAAAATGTACCCAGTTTGTTTAAAAGGATTCTCAATAGTAGAATATCTACTGACAAATAGTAACATATTCAGATCAAATCCATAGTGATCTTGATTTCAGAATCAAATCGAAGAATACAATACACAAGTGATACATTAAATGACAACATTAGATGGCATTTTTAACAGTTACACATACACTAAATACAGGGATGAGACTGCCATTTAGTTAAAAAGCCTGAAAATATGATGTGGGGGCTATTTGCATTGATCTCAAAAATGATATTTTTGGCTCCCAAAAAGTCAGAAGTTTGCTGATTGTTGGAAAAATCTCATTACTATAAATATCATAACTAAACAAAGATATAAATATATAGGAACCTCAGCCCATCCTGCCGCCAACATAAACTGCTGAGCACCTGCATATCTCCACACTTTATTACTGAATGCTTTATTTTCCTTCCGTACATGATGGAACTTCTCCTCAGACGGATTCTCAGCAGCATTTCTGTGAAAAATATAGTTATAATATTATTATGGTAGTATATCAATAAAATCACACAAAATGAATTAGGCACTTTTCCTCCCAAAAAGTGTTTTTGCAACAATATTATGTTGAAAATGATTGCTAATAATTTAAAAGAGAGGAGTTGGTTTGAGGTCATAAGGTATATTTTGTGAGCCCAAAAGTCATCAATCTTGAAAAAGGTTGTGTGTCGTCAATAAAGCTGGGCTATGCACACACATGCACGCACACACACACATACACACACATACACACACACACACACACACATACACATACACACACACATACACACACCAGATATACATGTATGTGCCTATACAAAGAGACAGCAAATCTGGGCTATATAAATACAATATCATTCCACTTAAAGTGCATCACTGCTTGACAACACATACAGACCATGGAATACAGAACAAGACCAAAATCTGTCACCCGTCACCAACTTACTTCATCAACTTGAGCAAGGTTTGTAGAGTAGTCCTGAGAATGACAGGGTCTGCCTCCTCCACCAAAATACCTAGACAGGCTCCAAGGATATCCTGAGCCTGAAATAATGCGGTAATAGTATACATGTATGTATGTTGATATGTACTGTAAAAGTTTTAAAACTTGTACAAAGAACATACCAAGGCTTACCCCAGTACATGTACAAGATGGTGATAAATAAATTTTGATTTGTTAAGAATTTTATTATAGAATTAGAAAGGATACAAAACATTGCATCCAAGTGCAAGGAGATATCCATCAATGATCTGTGAGGAGAAGAAAATTGGTTACTTTTCTTGAGAAAAAATAACATCTGATGCTTAAACCCCATATTCTTTCAGGAGTTGTGTTCTGTACCACTGTGTGTCATTATCATAATTGTCACTCCTTCTTATATATGACATTAGTACAGGTATGGACTACCTCAGATACTCTCTGACCACATGGTAAGCCAGCAGTCTGTTACCAAATTATTGTAGCGCACCCTGTGGGACTTCAGGTATCAACAAGAACAACTTCCAAGCCAGACACACCCTTAAGTTTGTATTTGGTGTTTTACACATTGGTGCCGAGTAGCCCACATCCCTGTCAGGCCTGTAGCCAGCAATTTCAAAAGGTTTTTTTTCTGAAAAAGTGGACCTTTTACACTTTTGTGCACCTAGATCAAATTTTACCTAGAATGGACCTTTTCATGACAAAAAAGGGTGGTCCTTTCAAATCCCCTAAACCCCTCTGGCTATGGGCCTGGCCTGCCTATATAAGGTAGTGCTAGTCAAGCATAGCCTCAGACTTACTCCAGATGCTCAGCTGAGTGACTGCGCCCAAACCCACAACTGTCCTCCTCTGCTGCTGCCACTGCTCAAGGGGTGGTAAGAGGCAGTACTATTTCAGAAGCCCCCCCCCCCCCCCCCATATCAGAGGGTATACTTCATCACCTGTGATTGCCTCAGTGTGAAGCATATTCAAGTTCCACACTTACCACAAGTATTGAGCAAATCAAGCTAGTCCTCCTTATGGTTTTGCTGTAGGGGCTAAAACAGGCACAATTACAACAGCAGGGGGTCATTAGTTAATTACATATAAATGAAAAAGTAGGATGTCTTCAAGTCACATCTTAGGGCTATTATTTCCAGTGTATTGCTCTAGAGAGTGTGTTAAAGGTGCATATGAAGAAAATTGACATTTGTCTAAGCATTGCCACTAAACCTGACCAAATGCCACCATATAGTTTCAAATAGCATATAAATTATAATTTACAAGAATAGCTAGCTGATAAATAAGTCAAATTTTCGACCAGAAATTTGAATAAAGTGCAATTCTACAGCTTTTATTTGTCTGACCGAGTGATTAATTTGGTATATCCCATGTAGACTTTATTTGAGTCGTAAAAGAAGCTAGTAGTGGTGATTTTCATTTGTTGCTGCTTATCTACGCTTGCTTCCTACAGTATGTAACATTAAAACTAGCACTATCACGAATCAAACGTAAGTAAATTCTAAATCCTGATATTTATTTTGTCTTATTTGAACTTTAAAAATCCTTGAACATCTCAATTTTTTAAAAGACACGTAAAGGTAATTTTACTCACATCATCATCATTTTTAGCTGCCATAATTTGTAATATTTTACGATGATGTTGCTTCTTGTTATCATTTCGTTTCCTTCCTCCAAGATTGAAGAGCAACATGAAAAACAATAAAAGCTACATTCAAAAGCAATCTCATCTCTTTGTATTTCTGTGTATGATTTAATTCATGTCGCATCTGACCAAAAATAATGCTCGAAAAGAATGCTTGAAAGCAAAGATTAAAGCAGAAACTGTGCCCAATACAGGTAAACATATGATCCAAAGGGGATAAAATTTAGTTTTACCTTTCTAACATTAGACATACTAGTATTGATAATATCAAAGATTTTGTTAATAGAGATAAAATATTGTGAAATCTCATTTTGCAGGCATTTCAATTTTTTATAGACAAATGCCCGGTTAAGAAATGGCTTTGAATATAAACAGAGACCTTGTTAAACACATGGCAATTAATCGAGTAATTCTACGTAAGTAAAGCAACCATGGGGACCAACTTATTATACAATTTAGTTTTCCTTTACATTTTTGAAGAGCACAGGAAATGAAAAAATGAGACAGATGAGATATTTTTTTTAGATATAAGGCCTAAAAGGCACACGCTGCTCGTTAGACCTTTAGAACGTTAATTTAATCTTAATCACTTCATACCATATTAAACTGTTCACAGAGGCATGATCCATAAACCTGTTTTGAGTTCAGAGTTTCTTGTTTCTGAGACACACTCGTGATGCAGTTAGAGATTGGTGAATTTCACTTGTGATTACAAAAATGGGAAAGCTACATAAAATGAAATTCGTAATTTGTCAACGGTTTTGGATAGGCAAAAGCTACTTGATTAAGAAAAATTGCTGATTTTTTTTTTTTTTTTTGCTAACGCACATTTTAAAACATTTTATAACAAACTCGCAAATTAGCCTTTGAAAAGAAATTTGATGTTTTCAATTGTAAAATTACGTTTATCGCTTTGCATACTCTTTTTTATTGATTTTTCTTCTTTTTTATTCAATCTTGAACGAATTTTTTTTACTTCCTCATTTCCAAGTTCATTTTGCCGCCAGTCAAATCAGATACCGCATCTTACTTAGATTGCAATGCCCATGGTTTCCAGTTTAAGATGTGTCTATAAATGTGATCGAGGTGTAGTCGCAGTGCTGGGTGGGCCCAGGAACAGTATAACAGTATATTTCTGGTGCAGTACCAAAGCCTCTTTTATGATAGGCTGAAAGAGGGCCAAACCCTGAGTGAGGGCGTTATTTAACACCCAATCCTTGAAACTGAAAACCCAGCCGTGGCGGACTGTTTCTTTTCAGGGGACATAAAATCATTCGAATCATTATGCCATTTTACGCACTCACTGACCCCTAATATGGGTGGACGACCACAGAGAGAGAGAGAGGATGGAGGCAAATCCAAAAACAATGAACTTTGCATCGTAACGAATTGCTACAGCGACAGCACTAGTAAACCATAAAAAGATATGTGGCTCACATTGTACAGGTTTGTTTGTTCAAGATGCGTAATTACGACGTAATATCAATACAAATGGAAATACTTCTGCAAAACCTCTTATCTGGCATCTGCTTTACCAAATTAACCATCGATCCTTTTGTATCACGTAAACCCTCATGTACAACACCATCTTCCGTAATTACTAAAAAAAAAAAAAAGATAAAAAAAGAAATGTAGGCACGCATGAGCACCCATAAGTCTGTGCAACATGACCACAAATCAAGACAAGTTTTATGCCTCAATAGCATTTCAACACGCAATAAACATAACCCTTTCTCTCAAATAACAAGGACTTTTCCCAACTTCAGGTCATAAGGTGCACAGATCACGCACACAGCGCCACGCAGACGCTTCGTACATCGCAGGGGGAAAGGGCGATTTTGCTGATAACGCCCTTCCCCGTTAATAGCGCGATGCAACACCACACTTTGAGTGCACTCCTCGATTGAAATTAGAATGGCAAGTTATTTTAATTAATCTATACGACAGAAATAACACCGTTCTGGCTTCTTATTTCTCGTCACCGGGTGTTCGCTCCTCGATTACGCTTGGGGTTGGTTTCACGTCCGCGCTTTCATTAAAAGATTTTCCTTCCGGGTTCAGCGTTGCAACTGAGTTCTGTATCTCTCGATGTCAAATTACTGGTCCTAACCCTCCCCCCCTCCCCCCGCGAAAAATAAAATAATGATCAGTCTTGTAATAATTGCAGGTGGCCTTAAAATATCCCCCCCCCCCCGAATAATAATAATAATAATAAACTTATAACACAAGGGGGTTTCTGGATGTCAAGAAGAGAGTGGGTCCGTTTCCCGTATATTAAAGAGCACCATAGTTTAAACTCAGAGAGTTTGTATATGGGAAGGGGGTGGAGAGGGTGGGCGAGAGGGAGTGGGAGCAACCCCAAGTCTCTTTAATCTCTTAGTTTTATCAGTTATTGGCACCAATTGCTATTTTCAAAATATGCGTTTTTACCAAACACAGTGACACATTTTTCGGAAGTGGTTTATCCTCCCAAAACAAGCATTTTCGTGATTAATAGAAATTTCGCCGTGGATTATCTTATTATCAGCTGAAAAACATAAGAGACGTAGGCTTTGAGACGTTGAGTAACTCTCTAACTTTAGGTATTTGGGTTGGATTGCGAGTGTACATATTACACTTGTAATCCACTGGCTTTAGACAATTGAATGTATAAACACCTGGACTCCTGTCATTAAAAACTCAAATAATAGTAATATTTGACCAGATTTAGACCATTCCATGCGCGTGTCACTTAAAAATACGCCTCCCCTGTATACGGCCATTTACGTCCGTTTAAAAGAAAAAGCAGAATAAAATATCCATTACCTGAAGGCCAAAAAAGCATGTAAAGTGCGATACTTTCAATCACGGGTGATTGGACCTAAAAACAATACACTTCTGAATTCGATCCCCCCACGTTGAGCAACATTTTACTGATAACATACTGTTAAGTACGGTTAAAAAACTTTGCCCTAAAAAGCGTTTTTCTTTGCTGTAGACCTGAAGTGGCATCTAAATGTATAATACTTTTGTAAGATTTTTAAGGTGGTTCGTTTCGTTAAAGCGGCCTAAATTGGTCAAGATAACCATTTTCTCGTTTCTTTTATGTAAAATACTTATATAGATACAAGTGCGATCAAATTGAACAGTTTAAGAGCAAAAAAATCAAAATTTCTTTTTTTTCATTCATTACCTTTTGCGCTTCTGCTTTTAAGCTACGGTTGAGCTTCGTTGTTGTAAGATAGTGATCGGGTTGCGTCTTACCTCCAGAACTTAGATGTTATCACGAAAACTGTTTAGCGTTTGCTTTTGAATTTTTTGTTGATGAGATATGAGCCCCTCACAATGATGTTACATCCAACAAAGGCATTATTTCGCCTCTTTATTGACAAAATCAGAACTGAGCCTTTCAAGGAGAATTCCTGGCAACGAATCACATACTTATAGTCGCGATTTAATAGGCGTTAAAACGGTCTTGGCGCTGTTCAGGCAAGGGTCATCTTGATCTTTAAAAAACAAATCAAAAACACAATTTCACCACAGAAGCGCTGTTGTTACATCATCAGCTCGAATTCGCAAATTCGCTCTGTATCTTCAGTGTAACTGTTTTATCTTATGTCAATGTTCTTCTTTGCATTAGCTTAGTAGATGGGGAATTAGACCCTAACGTATGGAATCACCCTCAAAACCTTTTTGACCTGGTGTTAATGGTGTGACCTGTTTAACCCACGCCACCTTTGCTTCGTTTCTTACACGTTTCTTTCATTTTACAAAATTACCCCATGTTTTCAATAGCCTGAAGTATGTTCGGACCACGTTCTAAAATGCAAGTTAGTCATCATATATTGTTCTTCACACGACCATATAAGATGGAGACATTTGAACCAGGAAATCGCCAATCTCTCTTTTAAACGACGATAGTTAATGACTGGTAACGACCAAACAACAACAACAACAACAACAATAATAATAATAATAATAATAATAATAATAATAATAATAAAGAAACATCGCCTAAAATCATTGGACCCCGAAGCTCTATTTCTAACTCTATTTGTTCTTAAAAACCAAATCTAGGTCGGTCAGTAAATTTCCCTTGCATCTCTTTTTATTTGCCCTATCTTTGTCTTAATATTACAAGGTACCCTAAATGCTCACCTTCATCTTCGATTGTTTCGATAGATGATTGAACAAATTCGACTTAAACCCCAGACCAAATGCCTTGGCATTTGTCTCGTGCAAAACAAAGAAAAACATTTGTAGACAAATGTCACAAGGTAAAACTCTTGACTTTGCTTTCCTAAAAAAGTGTAGTACACTAAATGTCACAGAGTAACGCCCCGAGGTCCATTTAACTAATTGTATTCTTCCTAACTGGAGTTTTTACCACGTGACGGTCAAATCTCACTCCAGCGGGCGTACAACGTGAAATCAAATTTGCTCTGTTGAAGAATCGCACTTTTCAAAATTGAAATGTAAACAAAGCGTGAGAATTCAGTTCCGAATTTTCACCACAAATCAGGACCTTTTTTTTCGTCCGATATCAGTTAGTTTTGGGTAATTTTAAAGTATTTGCTTATTTAAGAAGACTTCCGTAAGTTAATACATAGATTGAGTTAAAAGGAGTGACAATCAGCCCACGCATGCCTCTGTTGTACGGTATTTATATCTTGTTAGCAGACAAAATAAAAAGGGAAATTGTACTATTTACGAATGCATTCCATTCCAAGGAACGATGTGGTGGCTACAACTTCTTTTAACAGGTATGTTTAATTGTTTACGTTTCTATGTCTATTTAGCGTTGAAATTAAAAGAAAAAAGCGAAGCGAAGCGCATTTCACTCGGCATCTTTACATGATGCATAAAGTGATTTAATTGGGGATTTCTCGGCAGGTAGGTAATTTTTGCAAATTTTCCGTTACACACCGACAGCCAAATTTAAGTATTCACATAAATGCAATTTATCATGAATTTTTTCTTATGGCTTAATGCGT